TCTTGAATCTTGACATCACAAAGGCTACAGTAGTAATTCCTGCCTCTCCATGTGCAATTGTTCAGTGATTTGTTATGACGTGTTCGATCTTTGCACGTACGCGCTTTGTGTTAAGCGCAGCACGGTCAGCCAGCAAGTCCAGGTGAATATGTTAAACGCAGGTGACAAGCTGCTGATTGGCACTTCAGACAATTGGTTGCTATTGAACATCTTCCTCGATGCGAATAAAGCCTAAACTTGCATCGAGAGTGAGCATCAAGAAGCATGGCACGATGCAAAGAATGACCGTAATTGCAGATTGAATGAAGCAATCAGGTGCGTGTATGTGAAAGAAAGCTATGTGGCTATGACTGCACCTTAGAGCTTAGACATGCAAGGGGCAAGAATTCGCCACAAAATTCCCAAACCAGTCCTTTGGCAAAGGGGCCAGAATTGCAGCATCCTTGCAACACTTTCGAGCAAGCTGGACTGGTGGTCAATGTGGTTTGAGCCATGTTATATAAATTGAAATTCAATTGGGAAATCTGAGATGCTCACAGCAGTGGCTGCGCGTTTTGTTCCTGACATCCTCAGGCTTCAATTCCAAATGCAGCTGTGCAGCTTCAAGAAGGGTGCACTGCTGGAACGGGAAGGCTTTCCCGGGCATCTGGCTTCAGCTTCCCCTTCTGAGGCTTTGATGCGGCCTCAAACAAGGTGTCAAAACTTTTAGTCAAAACCGATGTCCTTCGCGCAATCCTTTCCGCCGGTCCCAACTCACATGCACGAGACCCTGTCGCAGCTAAACCTGTTGCCAGGAAGGGAAAAGACACCAAAAAACGGTCGGCACAAAAAGTCTGGTATGGCGCACAAATCCACGGTGACAAGATTCAGCACCCCACGGTGACCCCATACCGATGATAAGTCTACGTGTTGTTTCCATACAGCTTGGCTCAAGCAGGTCAACGCACATGCTGGGGTCGTAGCTTCTTTGGCCAACATGTTCTGCCTCACGAAAATCCCATGCCTCGGCTAGCGCGCGAGCAAGTAAAAAGCGAAAGGAACCAAAGGTGAACAGTTAAGGTCGGCACCCATCTTTGCTGTCAAAATACTTGACACCTTTTACGGTGCCGTCATTTTTCCCTTCCTGGCTTCACGCGCTGATGGGTACCCTGTGCAAGTGCGCAAGTAACTTCTAGCCGCCTTCTCATCCAGCTCGATCCCGAACCATACTCCCTCCGCAAACTGGGTCTTGCCGACATACCGCACCATGCCCCGCAACTGCACAGGATTTTCAAGGCAATCCCAAAGGGGGAAAGAGCAAGTTGAGACACATTCTCTTTTGATCTAGATGGGCGCATGCATGACACCAAGCAACAATAAATAACAATACGGAGCATGGCCACTCACGCACGGCGCAGTCACGAGTTGCAAGTAACAATCTGACGTGAATGCGGCGTCTGGCTGCCCTGTTTCGTTTTGCAACTTAGTGATTATCCGGCGTGGCGTGCATGCCGATGGCGGAGGAGCAAACATAGGTGGAGTTGAGGCCATATCCCAGCCCAGTGACAAATAGATACAAATAGGAAGATTTCTAGCCCGAAACTGTAAAACCTGCATCGTCGCTCGCACAAGCAGTCCTATTTTGTGGCATGCCGGCAGCAGCCGTATTGGACTTGTCAGCATATTCGGAGAACAAGCGATTGAGCAAATATATACATATCATATACAGTATCTACAGAAATAACTTGTCCGAGTCTGCTGGAAATGTTGTTGGTGGCCGTTGGTGTTGGCATACAGCAGGCTTAGGCTGGCTGCATCCAAGCCAGCACGCAATGGATGTCTTAAATGGGCAGGATAGAGAGAGAGAGAGAGCGCGCGCAGAACTTGTGAGAATTGTCGAGCCCGCAAGGCGGTCAGGGTCACCCTGGTTGACCACCGGTCTAGGGTCAACGCACGACGCGTGAGAATGCAAGAAGCACAAGGGGAAAAAAGATCGTGGGTATATACTTCTTGCGAATGAAGCACACCGCCGCCAGAGGAAAAAAACACAAACTCTCTATATAGCGTTTCAGGCGGTTGAAGCCACATGAGCAGCAGTCTAATGTCACACGTTACATCTCTTCTCCAAAAAAGCCGATCCGAAGGCCTGTCCGATCCACGCGACATCTCCAACTTCGAAGGTGGCCTGGCGTCTGGCGGCGTCTGTGACGCTTCGAAACAGTCGGAAAAGTCACCGTTCGAATGACATCCAGTGTTGCAATGGAACGGATGGTTTTCCTGACTCGATGGTTTTCCACATGTATATATAAGTGTCAGTTTGATGTGGCTCGATGGTTTTGCAATGTCATTTACAGTAACTCTCTTGTTTCAGGACGCCCACACCACGAGAGTTGGAAGCAAGAGATATCACCAGCCCAGTTGTGCATCAGAAAGTAGGACAAAGCCAGTTACATGATTGGCTGGCAAATCTGATCGGTCTATCATGGTCTATCTACTGCATGGCGCAAAGTCGCGGGCTTGTGTTTCCTGTCCTCCCCCACTTCTTCTACTTGTGGACGTTTCTCGCGGCCACCTGACAACACAAATGGATGACAGCCAGGCTACGTTCACATTACCTCACACACACAATAAACACCTTCATGGGTGCCTTCGACGCCAGGTATGCCTGATTCCATCTGTGCCTGCCTCTGAAAAACTGCCGGTGCAATGGAAAAGGCAATAGTAATATTATGTAATACGCAACAAGTCTAGAGTCGCTGCTTGGGAACTCCGAGCAGGCGACATGCTCTCCAGTGGCTCCATGGTTTCCACTTTTTCTGCCTGCACAGTCGAATCCATCCCACTATATTTATATATATATATAAGAGAAACTAAAGAGAAACATGTTTTTTGCCTTCATCTCCTCCAACGCAGGTGACCCCTTCGTTCCCGTTGTTCCTTGGATCTCAAGCCATGACAGAAAGGCTTGGGGACATGTCGATCAGGCACCAAGCCCATAGCATGATGCTCACAGGTTCATTCAAAACAACTCTCGTGCTTTCTAAGCAACGAAGCTCCTGAACCTCTGTGCTGGGCTCAGCCTTGTCAGAGCAGATGCTGTCTTTCGACCACAACTCTTAGGAAAGCAAAGAACTGCTGACAGCAGAAGCCCAGTGCCTTTGTAGATGCAGAGGGCGGCTCCTCCTGTCACTGAATCAATGTTTAGTTCAAACAAATCACACTTCTGCTGAGCCGTTAGTTGTTGCTCTTTCACCGCTTTAGACTGTTTCTCCATCGACTCTAGCGAAATGGCATACAGGGTGGCACAGCGTATTCAATAGGGGGTCAAGTCAGCCCTGCCTTCGTCCGCGTAAATTATATCGTGTCTGTCATGACCAATAAAGCGACTCCCACGCCGAAACAATACTTCTTTCCGTACTACGAGTGCCACCCAACTTGTGGCCCTCGCAATGCGCCAGTCAACAGGCAGTCACCCTACAATACCAATACACCATCCCTAGCCTTCGTGCTATGAGCATTGTAGCACTACCACGCAGTGTCAGCGCTGAAGGGATCTCATCTTGACATCACACCACTTGAGGAATAGCTGGCAGCTGGAGCGTGACAATTCCGATTCTTGTCACTCCTCGTGATTCTACAACTTTGTATGGCTGGATGTTGTTTCTTCAGTCACCTGCCCTTCGCAAGCAAAAGTCTGGATTCAAAACTTTACACACAAGGTTCTGGTCGTTGAGTTGGTGCCATTGGAGATCGTCCTCATGTGTCACGGGTCTTTTGCCACGATCTACGTGCTCCAACCCTAAATCGCTAAAGTGGAGAAGCGATAGAACAAGGATGCAATCTGCGCACTACAAAATGAAGAGAAGTTAGAGAAGGAACGACAAAATGCGAATCTCATCAATCAATGAAGCGCGTGTGCCCCACGTACGTGAAAGAATAACATGAGCCCAGACCAGTCCTTTTCCGCAGAAGCCAGGGCTGCGGCGCCCTCCAACATAAGAGCAAGCTCTTGTTCTTCACTTGCATGTGCGGCTATCATGTTAGCATGTCTGCCACTACTCTAGCAAATTCATCTCGAAATTGGATTGGGACATCTGAGGCGCTGACGACAGTGGCTGCACGTTTGATGCCCGAGGTCCTTAGGTTTCCCCCACGCGGCCCCGCAGCTGCCAAGGGTCCGGCACATGCCCTGGACCTGCTAGGGCCAAACGGGGCGGGGGTGACTCATGGGCATCTGGCTTCAGCTTCCCCTTCTGAGGCTTCGATGCGGCCTCAGGGATGGGCCAATCGAAAGTCAACAGGATGACCTTCTGAGGTCGGCTTTTACAAGGAGGTCCGTTTTTCACCGCGAGGTGAAGTGTTGGGTCTGTGCGGACGGTTGACTCATGGCTGCTTTAGGTCATGACAAATCGCAGGAACAAGTGTGGTGAATCTTAGTGACTCTAGTGACACAGTTAGATCAACCAAACTAGAGTCTAGTGACTCTAGGGGGCGAATCATCTAGGGAACAAGTTTGGGAACAATTCGCCCCCTGCCGATGATTCGGTTACATGTGGGCTTTTCCGCGAAGACCACCACAGTAGATGCTTTTCTGGCGGCAGCTTTGCTGATTTTGCCTACTTGCTTGGGTTTGGATCTGCCAAGCTCTTCAATATCGAGCGGTCAAAAAGTCAAACGAATTAGACTCAAAAGGCACGTTGATTGGCGGAACAGTCGTAGCTTCCAAGTTCCCAGATCCGAACTCCGCAGCTGTGAAACTGTCAGCCATGAACATTAGCGTGGAAAGAATACAAAACAGGTCAATGGCAAGAACTGGAACCTAGTAACTAGTGTTTGAGCTTGGCTGAAGCAGGTCAACTTACACTGACGCACATGCTGGGGTCGTAGCTTCTTTGGCCAACATGTTCTGCCTCACGAAAATCCCATGCCTCGGCTAGCGCGCGAGCAAGTAAAAAGCGAGGAACCAAAGGTGAACAGTTAAGGTCGGCACCCATCTTTGCTGTCAAAATACTTGACACCTTTTACGGTGCCGTCATTTTTCCCTTCCTGGCTTCACGCGCTGATGGGTACCCTGTGCAAGTGCGCAAGTAACTTCTAGCCGCCTTCTCATCCAGCTCGATCCCGAACCATACTCCCTCCGCAAACTGGGTCTTGCCGACATACCGCACGATGCCCCGCAACTGCACAGGAGTGTCAGGGCAATCCCACAGCGGATGTTGCAACTAGATGCTTCACTACACTAGCAAGGGTGCCAATACGGTTCGAGTACTGAACCTAGGTGGAGTTCAATATACAGCAATGAGACGCTTTCGCCTGAAATCGCACGCGTTCAGCGAAAGCCCAAGGACGTCAACGCTGAAAGACTTGAAGGACTGAAACGTCGACGGAGCTCAAGTGATTGGACTGCGCTGCGTCTGATCATGCAGTCAGCTGGCATTGGTGGATCAATGGGTGTGGCTTGCTGCATGGTTATATATGTCTTCGTCCGCGGACGTGGCCTTCACGTGGCTTAGAACCTGCCACGTTCATCGGGTTTTCCTGAGCTGGGCTTGGGTCTTTCAAGAAATTCCTGGCACCTGGCACCATTCACCATTGCTTCAACTTCAACGCGATGCAATGCGTCCTGCCACCAGCGTTTTTACGACGAAGGGGGGAACTGCTACGGCCCGTGCGCCCCGTCTTTCAGCAGTGCTTCTGAGGCGAAGCGCAGTCTTAGCGGAATGCCAGCGTTCCAGTCAGTGGACTGGTGTCCCTTGCCTAAAAGAACGCACCATTCTCCATGAGTGTCGGAGACAGACAGTATATAATATAGAAAGTCGTTTCCTTTGTTTGCACATTTTGCACTATACGAAGCGCTGCCCATATATATATATATATACAGTATATATACACCTCCCACAGCTCAATTGGTTCTGCGCTACGATATGTCAGTCACCGCGTTCCATCTTTCCCAAGCTGAGTAGATGGAGCGGTCTGCAAGCAGCATACCACCCGGTGCATCCGGTCGCATGGTCCGATCGGGCCATCGTGCACAAGCAACGCAGGGCTCACACCTACGCAGCACCCCTTGCACATCAACTGCACATGCCCGGTTAGGAGATCGACCGGCCTGACCAAACCACGCTACGTCTCCAACTTCAAAGGTAGCCTGGCAGGCACTCCACATCTATACATCTGCAACAAGAAGATGCCACATCAAGCTGCTGTGCGACAAAAATAACAATTCTATCCAAAATGACATTGAAAACAATCCAACTATACCACTATCCAGGAGCTGTCGCCGCTTCGCAAACCGACTTGTCGCACTGCCAACTTACAAGCTGAGACGCCGACAGCTGCATCACTCATCAAAGAGGATCAGGCCACATTGACCGATGCCACGCAAACTCCATGCGGACTCTCGTGTGGTCCTCTCGTAGTACAGTAGTCGTGTGGTAGCTTTCAGGCCCTCCCAGACTGTCGAAGAATGCCTAGCCTTTCTGCTCCCTAAGGCCTCATTGGAACACCAGTATTTAGGGTACCTTTGGGGATGAGCCACAAGGTTTGTGATGCACTCCCTGAGAGAGAATCATGGAAGCGGAACATTGGTCCCTGGGACCCTGGGATGACCATCTTCCTCTAGAAACAGGTGGCTCTGTCCACTTCCATGATTCTATCAGGGTGTGTAAGTCGTCTGCTTTCATTGAAATAGACTTTCTCTGTACTTCATCCAGTGCACTCACTGAGGCCCCAAACAAGAATTATACCACTAGCGACTCACTAGCCTGCTTGACCAAGTGCTCCATCCAACCCACAACTCTTCTACTCTGACCCCATAAGATTGCAGCGGCGGCGGCAGTGCAAGCATTCCACCTGCAAATCGTGAAGATCACGCGCTCGGAAGCTAGCACTGTTTTGGAGATTAATGGTGTCGAGCTGAAATTCGAGGCCCAGCACGGCTGCCTGAAACATACTCTTACTATATATGCAAACCCCCTTAGCAAGGCCTGCCCCTTCTACGCGTTGTTGCGCAGCAAGTCAGCGGTGGGTCTGGAAAACATGGCGGGTCTGGTGAAGCAGACCTCACCAGCAGCACCACACTACGACTACACAGCACCACCAGGCTGCTGTGTATGATGGCCTGGCAGTCCCCATAGTTTAAGTATGCATGATGGCTGAGCATGAACACACAAAGCCCACACATCGCCGCGGATCGTTGGGTGCCGAATCAGTGGCTGCGCGGATAGGTGACGGTCACAGCGGTCCAGACGTCGCCGTGTTGGCCCAGGACACCTCACTCTTTCACCTCACATGAGTTCGCATGCCTGGCAACCTCATCTGAGGGGAAGAAACCGCCAACCTCTTCCCCTACTCAGGCCTCCCAACACAGCAGGGCACTAGATGTTCTTCGATGATGTTGGGCCATGCGACAATGGAGCAACACGGGCAGTATCCAGCAAGCAGAAACACTGTAGAAACTGGAGCTCTTCTTGTTGTATGTGATATATATGCAGTACATATATATATATATATATATTTATATAAGTAAATAAACAATAAACGCGGTTAATAAACAATTAATCAAAATGTATGTATGTTACATATAACACACATATTTAAACAATTTTGAGAGTGCATATCAAATCGATACGTCAATTCAACTGTCATCAACCTTGGGTGATGTGTTACTCAGCGGAGCAGCCCTTCCGATTGTTTTCTCTAGCTGCAGCACGAGGATACACAACTTGGCATGAGTACTTTGCACATGCTCCGACACTATGTGCCACCTCTTCGCTAAAGACAGCATAACCAACAATGGCCTGGCACCAGTGCCTGCCACCGGAGCTTCAGGGCATAAAGAATGCGAAAACCGCAAAGTTCTGCCCATCCAAGGCCCACCGCTCCCAACGACATCCTTCCCCCAAGGGCAACTCAGTGCGTGGGTGGATCGGAGCTTCACGTGCGTAGTCATGGCCGCTGCTCACGTGGATCCGGCCCTTGCCCCATCCATCAGGCTTTCCGTTCTTGAAGACTTCCCTGGGCGAATTCTTCAGTGGTGGCCCGCAATTGGATAAAGTTCAACCATTGGAAAGCGTGCCAAAAAGAGGCAGTGCAAGAAAGGAAGTGCCAAGACTTCCGGAGACAGCCGCTGAGAAAAGGTCGAAATCGAAAAACATCGGCGAACATAGGGGCGTCTCAAAGATGGGAACCTGCCGGGACGCCTATAACTATAGATACCGGGCGCAGCAAAAGTTGTAATAATAGAAAGACATCTATACGAACCCGCATTTGTCTGGGCATAACCTATACAAACATAAATATCCAAACATATACAAACATATAGAATGTAGACTCTTGAGGACCATACACCCCCCCATTTGAATGGACAATCCTCTTCAGGCCTGGGGGGGGTTATTAAGAGTATATTAGAAACCACCGCCCAACATACAAGGCCGGTCAAGCTTCGGTATGGTTTGCTTGAACTTGGCCGCCTGTTCATCACTGAGCTCCGAGGACCCAGCGCCATGACGTTGCACCCAGTCCTGGGACGGTGAAGGACGTCTGAAGGCAGATGCAGATGCGAGGTGACCCATGGTCCATGGAAACACACATGCTATAGTGACCCATGCCCTCAGTGAAGCACAGAGTTTTGATGTGGAAAAAATATAGTTCAGAGGCCCATGGTCTGCTACACATCTTTGAAACACTGAGCGGAATGACGTGAACAATGAACAGAGCTGGGAGATTGAGACGCGAGTCCCGATTGAAGACACTGAATGAAACTTTCGAACATCATGCTAGTATAATGATAGCAAATCCTTCATAAACCGAAGGTGCCACTGTGCTACTGTAAAGGGCCTAAGCAAACGCCTAAGGTCGGTCAAAACACACTCCCATTGGCCGCGCCCACTAGAACAGCAGGCTTACACAACCACAACCGAGCGTCTGCGTTGTAGATGTTCGAGATAGCGCAGCAAATCACTGCACCTTTCTCGTGTGCCTCGCGAACCTTGCGTAACCAGTGACAGCACCAGCCTTGTGTGGACAAACGGCCAACATCTCATCAGCAAGCGCTACAACCAAGGCACAAGCACCCAATTGCGTTAGGATTCAAGGAAGAGATGCCCAAGAAAAGAAGTGTCAGAACCACCGCCAAAAGAAGAGACCCTTTTTACAAAGTGTTCCTAACCCTGGGGCCGAGTGACAGTTGTACTTGCGCCCAGCGATGGGCATCACATCACCTTTGCGACCCTCCACCTTGCAGTTCCACATGCCTGTGCGCTCAGCCTCGGCCGGCACCTCCTTTTGGTCACGACCGCAGTCGTCCGGCGGATGTCTCCACTTCCCATCGTCGGCGTTGACGCCGAAGACGGGCTCATCTCCAAACCACACGGTAGCAGAGCCTGCATGCCGTGATTGCAGGTCATGCAAATCCAGGTGAATACCAAAATGAAACTATAAGTTTTTGGGTGTTCCTTTCAGTGTGATTGTAGGTGCGTAATTTGTACAAATACCACAGTGACACTGAAGTTTTGAGACAGGGGCAAGCGTTATGGAAATGTTGGAAAAAGAGGAAACATGAAACACTTGTTTTTTTTATCGTCGTAGTAGGTCAACCCCACAAATAAGCAGTGCACCTGGCGGATGTTCCGAAGGAGTTGACCGGAGAAAGCCAAAGGATCGCTTTCAGAACGCTTGCGTGTCGGTCCGTTGCCCTGCCTCCTTCACCTTCCTCCTCCAGCTTCGCCATCACAGCATCGTATGCAATGCCACCCGGGACCGATGCCCCCGTGGCTTTAAAGGCCTTTCGCATGCTCAGGAAGCAGGTAGAACTCTCATAGTAGGTAAACACCAGCCCTGTCCCCGCCACCTTTTCACATCGCTCGACAAAGTCCAAATCCGCGCGGAAGTGTTCCAGGCCAGGCAACTGCACGAGCCAAGCGGCCTTGCTTCGTCGCACCAGCTCCTCCACGTAGCCCGCCTCGGTCCGCAGCCTCTCCGAGGCGAAGCGCAGGGCGTCGAAGGGATCTCGGAGCACCGCGGCCAGGATCACGTCGGGATCCTTAGGACGGCGCGGCCTCCCAGAAACCTGACAAACAAAATTGAGTGTGTTTTTTCCGGAAGGGGATTTAATGGGATTTATATCCACTTCGGGAAGAATTTCAAAAAGAAGAAATCACCTGATCAGTTTAAAACAACCCGGGATCGTCTCGGAGCTCCACGGAGGCTTGTTCGAGGAAGGAGACGTTCCGAGCGACCTGCGCCAAGACGTAGTCCTTGTTGCTCCAGGGGTCGTCCTTAGATAGTCAAAAACGGTGTCTTTTTTCCCGTGCTTTCCTCTCTCTCTCACGCTGACTATCTCTATCTCTATCTCTCTCTCTCTCTCTCTCTCTATCTCTCCATCTCCATCTCTATCTCTATCTAACTCTCTCTAAACCTCCCCTCCTTTTTTTGCAAGGCAAATCGAAATGCACAAGGCAGAACAGAGTGGATCGCGTCATTCCGCTTGCTCAGAGTTGTTATGGGAGGCTCCTTCTGATTCTAGAGGCACATAACACAATCTGGTCAAGACCAGTGAGGCCACTCACCGATTTTGGATCTTCCACTGTGCACCTTTGTACTTCCACTGATCTTTTGGCAGGATTCAACTGAGGCGGTTGAATTTGCTTCTGACTTTGATTATTGACTATCTTCACAGATTAACTCCGCCGGCTGAGGCTGGCATCCCTACTGGTGATTTTTCCCTCACCTGGAACGGACCCCAACCAACCTGCCAAGCGACATCGTCCACCTTGGGTGCACGAGCGCACGGCAAACAAAGCACAGCGGGAGGGGCACACACCAAATGTGAAATACCATTTCAGGGTTCTTCAATTCAATTGCCATCTAGCGACCTTTTTGATCCTCAAGTACGTGGGGCTTTCCCGGTGTCAAGACATCAAGCAAGTTCAAGAAACGGGGAGGCTACGACACCGGAAGGTCGTGGGAGGGAAAGCTGTACTCTTCGTGCTGTGGCACACCACAGGCTCAAGACAGGCGACCCTGAGAACTCTGAGATGCAACTCCTGGAGCGAAGAAGCTCGGAGTTGCTTAAGGGGCCAGAACGGCGGCGAATGGCTTGTATCCAGGCTTGATGGAGGGAATTCTATCAGACTACGATATGAATGTGTTTCATGTGCAGCCGCGTCCTCTCATGAATTGTTTCAGAGTAACAGGTCTATGTCGCATCTCAGTCCCCACTTCTCAAGCACAAAGCAGTGCCGCATGGAGTGGCGGCATGGTCCATGGGTCCAAGAGTCCGTGGCGGTGTTGGTGCGTCCGTCGGTCGCTGCATTCGTCCACAGCCCGATCACCTGGATCCGTTCGTCTGGCCGTTGATCGGGCCGGCACCGCACCTGATCCTTCATGCACTCCTCGATCATCTGGGCACTGCCACGGACTCCGTTTGCCTCGGGGCCAGTGGGGGCCATTGTCGCTGCCGAGTCGCTGTGTTTGGCAGAGGCTACAGACACATGGAGCAGGGATGATCTGCAGAAAGGTTCATCCAAACTGAGGCAATTCGAATTGGAATCGACTTTTTGGAGAGTCACTCCCAGGCAATTCCCTTTGGGCCGATTTCACTTCACCACGGACCTAACCATGAGAAAACCAACATGCTCGGTCTTCCTACAAAGCGAGATGAGAACACCCGCAGAGGCGAGAGGAGACAGCGACTCAGCGAGCGAGCCAAAAACACAGCCATCGTTCAGCTTCCCGAGCCTCCACGATGAGATGATTCTCCTTCACCTCTAGCTCAGGCATCATCTCATTCCACTCCTGCCATGCCCCGCTTCGCCGCTTCGCCCCGCTTCGCCCGCACCTCTTCACTCGCTCGCGAGGACGCAGGGCGAAACCGGGGTGGTCGATCGCGCGAGTACGGCCTCCGGGAAGGTGGGCACGAGAGACCCAGAATTGGACGACGAAACTAGCACAGGGAGAAAAGCTACAGATTCTCAACCCAAGATAACCCAAGCACGTCTTGGGGGTGTGCAAACTCACCTCAAAGGAAAGAAGCTCCAAGAATCTTTAGATGCACGCGCCACGCTCACTGGCAACCACACCGTCTTCCTACTGGAATTTGGAACAGGCATTACTTTACCCTTTCCTGGCCGATGGCAAACGTGTCCTCAACCAGGCCACCGCTATCGATACCTTGGCTCGTTTTCTTCACAAACACTGGTGTTGGACCCTGCTTTTACGCCCGGGGATGCTGGTTTTAGACACACAGAAGCAAGTTGGGAGGTCACACAGTTGGGAGGTCCAAAGATGACACAAATCCGCCAGGGTGCCCCTCTATATACTCATTTGAAATGTGGCTTCTGGACAAAGCCAGATCTCAGCTTAAGCTCAGCTGGGGTCGGGGGAACACAAGCAACCACAAACACACTCTGGCTGTTGGATCATGGCACCCGGGCGCCCGCCTGGGCCAAACCACCCCGGATGAACATGAAGAGACTTCCTCCAGGCCAGACCGGATTGTCAACCGAAGCTAGGATGGTTTTGGTGAGGGAGGCGCCAGGACTCCTAGCCACGAAAGAATGCTGGACCGAGTCGCCTTGGACGATGAGCATCTTGCCGCCGGCCAGCCAATCGATTCCCATCCTTCAACGCTGCGCCATCGATCGGCAAAGGGGCGGTGTCGTGCCAAGATATCTTATCAATGCTCTATAATGAAGCAAGGGGAATGAGTGGGCGACATCTTGGAGGAGGAGGGAGGAGGAGGAGGAGGGAGGATCAAGTTGGCCAAACCTTAGAAATCCTTAATAGTGACCCCCTCTTTCAGGAGGACGAGGGAGGAGGAGGGAGGGGCGTTCCAGCTGTGTCGGGGTTCTGTAGTCGCATGCCCTACGGCCTACCACCTCCTAAGTCCGCCTTGTGGCCTGTATGCGTGAATGCATCTCCCTCGCCTGCTTCCATTCGTCTGATCCAAGGTCACTTCATACTCGTCAGCACGCGGCCCTAAGGACAACGCCCAACACGACAAGGCAATCTCAGTGCTCTTCCGGCACAGCTGACAATTCTGATGCTGAAACCTCCTGTCTGACGCACCCCACATCCTCCCTGAGAGCGTCCGACGCGCCCGACTCACCCGAAGAAACCGTCCGCCGTGGGGCAACTGAGCCGTTCGCCGGCGGGATCGGGAGCGTCAAGGCTGGTCCGCCAGGTGGCCACCCTGTCAGCGAGAGCAGCAGCCACTCCCCCAAAACAGCAGCCACTCTCACCTCACAGCTCACCAACATCGCTACTCCAATACCGAAAGGTCGGCAAAAACTTCATGAGCGGCTCGAGCCGCGAGCTGAAGCATCTCGAGCCGCTCCCAACCCCCCTTTTCGTTTGGGGTGGGACTTCCGTGCCGTGCTCTATGAGAATGTTTAGATCAGATCCCCTACAAGTCCAGTCTGGCCCAGTAAAACCGGGTCGTTTGCTTGCTTGAATAGTGCTTTTGCATGACCAACTCCAGTATTTCATGAGGTCATTGACCTGTAGGGATCCATTTATAGATCCGTTTGTTTGGAGCTTGGAGGCACCCAGCTCACCACACCCCGCCCAGCTGGGTCGTCGTCTCTGGGACCCGCTGCCAGCCGCCCGAGCTCGTCGGCAGGTCCTGCGGGGCGAAGCGCGGCGGGTCACAACTGGTCCAACGGCAACGGAGGGCCAACGGTCAAAAGACCAGACAACATCTATATCTTTTTGTGATGGCTGTTCCAACTTCTACGTACTTGTTTAAAGTTTATCACTTTATCACTGAGGGAGGAGAGAGAGAGAGAGAGAACAAAAACAAAACAAAACTACTTAGTGGTGGTTGATAAACCTGTGTATAGTGTGTGTGTATATATAACAGCATTATTTTTCTGAGGAGACCCACCATCACTATCAGCAACCACTGGAGGTTCATCGACTTCCGCTACACTGCCGCTACACATGCTACACATCTCTACTATACCGGGGAGTCCGAGCTCAAGCATGCTCAAGCTCAGGGAGTGCAGCCCGTGCCACTCCGTGTCGAGGTAGGTGCCAGGCCCTTGACTGGCCCTGGCCTTCTTCTCTTCGGAGTGCCCTTTGTCCTTCTGCTCCGGCACCTCCTCCACCTCCTGCACCTCCTCCTGCACCTCCTCCTGGCGAAAGGTGGACGAGAGGAGGGATGTGAGGAATGGCAGAATCAACAGCAGCAGAGTAGCAAAGCAGCAGAGTAGCAAAGCTTAGCTAGCAGTCGCAGACCTCGGATAGCTCGATAGTCAAAAAAAGAGTAGCAGAGTAGCAGTCTCGGTGTCGTTCCTCCTTGCCCAACATCTGAAAGCTCAGCCGCTCAGCCGCTCGATCTTCGTTCGATCCAGCTCGGTCGACCGGCCTCGGGCCCCAGGAGGAAGAGCGCCAGGTCCAAGTACTGCACAGCCCCGCTCGGGCCTCAGTGACGAGTTTAGAGGCCTGAAGGCGATGAAGACCTCCTCAGAGTGAACTTCTGCTGTGTGGGGTGGGGTGGTTCAGTCGTGGCCATCGTTGTGGCCATCTGACTTGGCCACCAGCTGCCCCACTTTGCCAGGCCAAGCAGCTGGTGCCGTGCACCTTTTGGAGCATGTCCTTCGGCACGTGGCCATGCGTCGCAGGTCACAGTCACATATGTAGCATCGTGGCGCGTTGGAACGAATCCTGGACCCAAACAGGACACTCTCATGGATGTCATGGAATACGAGAGGGTTGGGTCAAGTCAGAATGCTTTTGCCAACTGGATTTCGCGTGCACCTACTTTGAGAAGACGCGCCCTTGACAGGACTATGTATTGGAAGTATATGGAAGTATGCTGAATTCTACTGTATCTACATATCTACTAATCATGGTGGCCAAACGGTTCGAACGAGTCGAGTCGTTCTCCTCCAACTGACCCTCGGAGAAGCTGGGGTCTCGGCCGTCACACGCCGCGTCAGTCATGCAGAATATCTTACAGAAGATGCACATGGGAAAGAAAAGGTGAAAAATGCGAGTGCAGAGGTGATACACTCCCGGATGAAGTGGACAAGCACCGGTTTGTAGAGGAAAATCGTCATCCAAGGGCCGTTCTCCACTTCCATGATAGCTCCAGCAGAATGCCAATTGAAACAGGCCGAGGTAGGTAGAGCAATAAGCCCATTAAAACAGGCCGAGGCAACATCATTTGCCTTCGTTCACCCTGCTAGGGTTCAGACTGCCCATGCCCATGATCTTGTGGATGCTCTGCCGCGAGAGGACGCCTCAAAGAGATTTGCGGCCAACGGACCTGACTAACCAAGACGAAAACTACAAAGTTCTACCCTCTTGGCTGCGACCTCTTTCAACGCCAAACGGAAAGGGAAAGCATGAGCATCATGAGCCATCCTCAGGAGGGGGGGAAGCTGCCGATGCGGGACCCCTAACAACAACTATAGCTGCCACACCTGTGCCCTGGCGATCGAAGACTCGGAAGCATTGTAGCAACTCTTGGACCTGCGCAGGCCGCACGTGGAAGGCGAAGCACAGGTACATCATGCAGACAAGTGGGGGGAGAAGTTTTTCAGTCGGGGGCATTCATGTTTGGAGGATTGAAGCGCAGATTGCCGCTTACATCCCCACATGCCACTCTTTGAAAGCAGCAAGGCCCACAGCCAGACACCGGAAACCGTGCACACCCCAGGGCCTGGTCCCTTGAGGACCACTCCGCCAGGGCATCCTGGCGTTCCGGCGTTCCCCGCGACGTTCCGCGGTGTTGGTGCCATGTCCGGGCCATGCGCGTGTGGACCTGCACGTGTCCACACGTGCGTCGATCGCTTTATCTGAGACGATCTCTCACCAATTCCGACGTTGGATGCCGTTGTTGCGCCGTCCTTGAGCTTTTGCTCGTGCCTTTTGCATTCAATTCTTAGCTGCAACCAGCGGTTTTGAGCTGACCCTCGCTTTTTGACACTTACAGTGCATTGGAAATACCGCTTTTAGATGAGTGTTGTCCCCCATGCTGGGATCAATACGATCACAAGCAGCCAATGTCCGTCGCGAAAAGCCAACCAACGTACTGTTCGCGTGGGTTTCCTTCATGCACAACCACGTGTGTCCTCCTTCTGCCCTCTCCTTCATCGTGTGCTTGAAGGAGGTCAAGCTGAAGGAGTCCGGATTCCCCAGGTCCTCCAGGATCCTTCGGACCTCCGTCCGAAGCTCACGGCCGCGGCACGGTGCGGTGCTGGTGGCCCGGGCAGAAAGGGCTCCGAGCTGTGGGGAAAGGGAAGGCGGTTGGATCGCAGCCACGGTTTCGTGACTATCTAATTCCTTTTTTATCTACCTACTAGTATTTGGAAGGCTATGTAATTGCGCTGCCTCTTTTCAGCCCGGCCATGAGGCAAGCCTCGGGACCCTCAACTTCTTAGATCCGCTCAGGACCGCCGCGCTGCTTCGCACGCGCGGACCGCCTCGAAGTCCTGCGGGTTCATCCGCGCGACGCGCATGGCATCGTCCAGGTGGCGGACCTTCATCTCGCCCGACACCTCCTGCTCCGACCGCGCGAAGGGATCGGGCAAGCGCGCGCGGTGACCGGCACGGGCTCCGAGGCATGGTCCAGGCGCCAAGAGCGTCCAATGCGGGCCAAGCCGCTGACATCTCTTGTGGCTGATTTTTATGTGGCTGCGGGGGAAAGAACCGGTTGTGTTCATCCGCAAGGTGGCTCTTCTGCATCATTCTGTCCGGAAACTGGTTCTCAGGCCGCTGGACTAGGGAGATGTCCTTAATTCCTCAGAACTCCACTAGAAGGCAGGTTCAATTTGACCAAACTCTGATGTCCACAGCCGGCATGTGGCACTACAGCTTGGGCATATCCGATTATCAGTGACAGTGGATATACAATGATGATGATAATTGTCTTGCAAATGCCTTTTGACAATTATATATCAGTTGGAAAGGGCCTTTCTCAAAGTTAGTGATGATAATTATATATACTTGTTTGCCTGTTGCTGGTAATGGGGCACACCTGAACTACGTACAGTGAACATCATGTCCTTGAACCTCTCGAAGATTTCTTCCAGCCGCGCATCAGAGATGTTCAGGAACGAGTGAGTGGCCTCAGGAACGAGTGAGACGAGCGGAATCCATTCACCGCTGGGTCCGGTCCTGATGGTGTCGCGCCGCTCCCTATTGACTGAAGCAAACGAGCTTTCACATGCAGATCCGCAGGGTCCTGGAAAACAAGGTCCTCATTCTGTAAACGTCATCAGTCTTCAACGGTGTTCTTTGGTCGATGCAAGAGGCGCAGTCAGCAACCTCTCTGCACATCTAGTGGCTGGACCACGGCACTTTTCACTGTCTATGGCTTAGACCACCACGCCACTGCACAGGTGATGAGACCAAAACAATTCCCCTCGTCATGTGTGAGACAAAGGACTCTTTACGCCAAAGCAGGAGCACTTTACGCGAATTTTCACATCACTGTATATCAACGTGACTACACTCTGACTGATCTGACTGGCTAACATGAAAGTGGAAACCACCTCGTTTTAGAGGAACAGAACCTTCCCAAAGGCCATTGTCCGCTTCCATGTGAGTGAGTCGGAGGGTACTTGGTAGCATGGGCAATCTTTGTCGTACACCTTGCTGCACTCGGCAACTCGGCACCGCACAGCATGTCCGCCCACGTTTGTGGGGCCTCGACCAGCTGAGCGGACGCTGTTCGAGCATGGTCAATGGGTTTGACAGCACGGAGGGAAGGACGAATTCAAAGAGGACGTCGCCCGGAACTCATTCAGGCATCATGATGTTCGACGTGTTTTGCTTCCCACTGTATGGGTATTTCAACTGGTTCCGGCACTCCATCTGCTTTGGCAGCGCCAGCGCCTGAAACTTCTGCCTCGCCCCGTGTTGACATTGGGAGGGGCAATGGAAGGATGGACGCAGTCCACGCGGAGCTGACACCGTGAAACGAGACCTTATCAAATCATAGTGTGGAACCAGCGACCCATGTCATTTCTCAATGTGTGTTTCATTGTTTCCTTTCCTTTTCAATAGTTTTTCCTCACGTTTTCTCAAAAATGTTGTCAACTCACATGGTGGAATGAGTGGCCCATACCACCACATCTTGTATGTCCCATGGCCCATGGCCATCCGTGATCTCTGCCGGTCCCAGTTGTTGAGCCGGCGCAGCTGTGGAGCGAAATTCGCAGAATCAAAACTGGATTGGTTGCAGTTCTCACCTTTGCATGTCTTTTAATACAATACAAAAATATTCAATCAAAGTCACTCTGCAAGCGCTGTGCTGGAAATAAAGGGAGCGTGCGAGTACTAACATTCACAATTGAACTGAAGTTGTTCTACGCTTTGATCCAACAATATTCCTGGGAATCAACTGCAGTCCTGCATCTCATGTTCACGATACCTAAATGATATCAAAACATATCGGTCGGACCATGTTTCTTTCCGCAGGAAGCATCTTTGGTCCTGCGATGCTCCACATGTCTTTCAAATGTCTTGAAACCACCTGGAATTCAACGGATTGTTGAAAATAATCAATTTCAATGGAACGAAGGGATTGTGTCGAGCCATGGATTGCATCAGCCGAAGGATATTGCCAAAGCTACCGGAGTAGAGCAAGAAGATCGTAACCAGCTTCCTTGGCTACAGTTTGTGCATCAGTTTGGTGGGTGTCCTGCAGTGCATGGTCGGCCCCGTGATTGAGCAGTGTCTTTGCTGCTTCATATGCTTTCACCTCGGCCGCCATGTGAAGAGCTGTTCTACTTCTATCCTCCTTGTTCTGCTTGTTGACTTCGGCACCTCTTTGGATCAGGCAACTCACCACTAAGTGATGGTTGCAGCACGCGGCCACCTGGAGCGGTGTGGTTCCGTCCGTGGCAACTGGATCCAAGGAGCACTTCGCCTCCAGCAACTGGACGCACAAGAGCTCCAGGAGCTCAGAAGCTCCGGCGCTAGCAGCTCGGTGCAAGGGTGTGCGGCCTTGTGAGTCTCTTGCTTCAAGGTCGGCGCGGTGCTCCAACAACAGGCGCAGCGCTTCAAGCCGGCTCGGTCCACCCTCATCACTTGCTCCTGCACCATACATGCACAACAGGTGAAGAGCGGGTAGAAGGCCCTCGGGTGTGGCCCGGTTCAAGTCCTCTGGGCTGAAGGATTGCAAAGATCTCTTCAACACGTTGGCCGCGCCATGCTTCGCCGCCTCATGTAGAAGGGAAGATCCATTCTTTGCAGTGGTCAGCTTGGCCTGGTGGTCCAGCAACTTGATGACAACCTCCTCTTCACCAGCTGCCGCTGCGAGAAGCAGCGGCGTCCGTCCAAGTGCGCCTCTCCGATTTGAAAAGGGGGGCCAACACAAAAGGTCATGTAGACTCTTGATGAATACACCCACCCCATGTGGATTGAAAAACCCTCTTCATAGGGGGTTATTACTCAAGAGTCTACATTAGTGGAACCGGGGGTGGTGCAACTGTGCAACTGCAAAAGCACTGCACAACTGTTCACGGCTTTCCACCGCTGTAATGGTAGCTTCCGAGCGCTGGTGGTGGTCCGTACTCAGCCGGTACAGTGTTCGGCTCATATCGTTCATAACGTCGTACATTCTGACTGAAGGCGAAACCAGCGGCTGGTACATGTTCACTGCCGTTGAGGTCAAACAGGTGACAGGTGCGTACTGCTGGTGAGGTGGTGCGTTCACACTGCTGGCGAAGTGGCGGGTTCTGTTATGTTCTGTTCACACTGCTGGTGAGGTGTTTTTGGCACAACCCTCTTCATGCTTGGCAAAGTCAAACCGGCCCGAGAAGCAAAGGGGTCCAGCAAGGGGTGGGGTTTACATGTGTATACATACTTTTAAACTTTGAGCTATAAGCTAAGCCCAGCTCTTTACAATATATATATATATATTTACTAAGCCCATGTCATAACGGTAACCTACAGCAATCCTTTGCCTCACAAGATCACAACTCAGGGTATATAATCCCTTCGCGAGCTCATTGGATTGAAATTGCACATGTCTTGCGAGACTCATGCAACAAAACAATGTTACACCAATTCCCCCTCAAAATCCCTCAAGCACCGGCCTTGTGCTGGGGCGTCAATAGTAGCCCTCTGGTGGATCAGGTATTCCACAATCTGGCTCCGTCCATTTAGTGCTGCCCAGTGAAGTGGTGTGAGGCCCATGTCATCCTTGGCCACAATGGACTTGTCAGAGCTCAGCCTTTCCACCGCGACGTAGTGTCCAGCAGCTGCGGCCCAATGCAAAGGCTGCACCTAGGCTGCACAAGTCACACCGTTCTGTGCGCAAAACACGGTAGGTCCAGTCCGAAATTTTGAACGCATTCCATGGCTGAGATACAAACGACCCGGTAAAACCTTAGTGGGTGAGCCTGCTCTGTACTCTTTAGCGGCTGCACGCCAGCTCTACCTGCAGGCCTATGGTCTAATCAAAGCAACCGAGCCACCAAATGATCGTCCTTGGCCACCGTGTCCGCACGGGATCTCAGCAAAAGCTCCACGACCTCATCCGCCTTGGGATTGTAACGAACTGCATAATGCAGCGGCGTCCTTCCTCGATCATCCCGCACATCCAAGGCACATCCGTCGTCCTCGGCCGAAGATCCCTCAGCTGCTGCTAGTCCCATCTGCCGCAGGTGCTGTTGGAGTTTCATCGTGTCACAGGACTGCGCCTTGGAGTGCAAATCCTGACGGCCGTGCCAGGACACTCTGCGGGCTTCATACTGGGCCATCTCGAGTTGAAAGGACAGCTGCGCAGAGTGTCCTGCCCAACCCTCTGGTCCTGGTCGCTTCGCGAAATTTTGAAGCAGGTTCCCAAAAAAGGAGCGAAAGCACAGGTTCAGCTGCTCATGTCCAACAACCAACTCAATCTCCTGCAAGATCCTGTCTTTGTCTTCCTGCTTGGAGGCTTTGGCGTTTGCAACGTCTATTTGCAGCACTTTGTGCCCAAGTTTCTGGAATACATCCCTCAGCTCAAGGCCAAGTGACTGCTGGCGCGCAGGCAATTTGGTAAGACATCCTGCAGGGGTTGTCAGGTCAAGGGGAAGACCAAGTTGGAAGGCACGCATCGCCTCATAGAGGCACCATGCACGACTGAAGGTGGCAAAGTCATCATCACAAACCATGACCACTCGCTTGCAAGCCTTGAGTGCAAGGTTGAAAGGGCCAAAGGCCAAAGAAATGCCTCTCTCCACTTCATGCTGATTGGTGGCGAAGGAACATATCCAAAAGGCTGGGTCTGACGTTCCATCACCGAGCCCCTTGGCAAATTGCTTCAATGCCTGAACCAAATGTCGGAACTCCTGGCCCCACCAATGCGTCACAAAGTACTCAACCTTGTTCTCTTCCAGCAACTCCGAATAGCTCACTTCGCGTTTTGCCGTTTTCTTCTTGATGATGTGCTCAACCACCTCATGCATGGTCCAGCATTTGGTCTTGTCATGCCCAGGGTCGGCGTGCCTGGGCGAGCGCGAACGAACTGAGAGGTGCTGGCTGAGCATAATCCACACTCCAAAACAAATGTTCGAGCTGGCCGCGGAACGCCTAGAAATCAAATCAGAATCGGTGGGAGAAGACACAGAATTGCAACGAGACGAATCAACTCTTCTTGAAACAACCACGCCTGCAAAACTACACCCTGCTCACCATTTACAAGGTCTTACATCGACCGCCCGCTCACCTCCGGGCAATGGGCAATTGGATGCGCGGTGGACGAATGGCCATCATTGTGGCACGCAGACCAAGAAGTACGGCCATGCTCCCCCAAAATGCGAGGAAAACGACATCAGACGCTGATTCGACATGGACCAAATGGACCAACACCGCTGCGTGGCGGAATGGTCCAGCACACAAGCCATGAATGGTTGTCAGCCTCACCGTACCTCACCTACCCCTTGCGACTTATTTGTGGCGGGCTCGCGTGGAAGTGAACACCTGAGTTTAAGAAGAGGATGCATAACTTAACTAGATATATATCTTATCCAATACTTGTCCACGATGTTGATTAGAAGAAACTGTTCACAAGTAGAAGAAACCGTTCAGGTCCATGGGTCCATGATGATCCATGAGTCCATGACCCAGCCAGTCATATGTACAGTATACACTCCGACGAACACATCACATGGAAGTGGAAAACCCACTGTTTGTAGAGGAAGGTAGTCTTCCAAGAGGCCATGCCATTCACGTAACCATGTTAGTGAGTCAGAGTGTATACTCTAATTTGCCAGGAGACGTCTCAATCTCTTCCCGCCAGATCCTCTCCAGCGTTGAGAGCCGAATCCCTCGAAGCTCTGTTGGACGAATGCATTTCCCGCCGACGAAGCCAGTCGTGGGCGGAACCTGTGTCAAGGGGGAAGCGAGAACAGCCTGTTGAAGGGGCCATGGAACCAACAGAAACCGAAGAACCTCCTGAAATACCAAGTTAGAAAACGGAAATACAGTACCGACTTTGGGTGGAAAACCCTGCAGAGACAACTGAAAGGGGGCGTCTGCGCTAGAAGAACCAAATCCGAAAGCTCCCTATCAATCAAGCCCACCTCAGCTGGCACTTGCTGCAAAAGCACCACGAGGTCTCTTTCCTTTCCAGCAGCTTCCAGCTTCAGTTGAGGTTGCTTGATGACATCGAAAGAAACCTTCCACTCCTGCCAGTCCAGGGCAGATCCACCATCCTCCAAAATGAAATCCGTGAGTTTGTAGAAGCCCTTCACTTCAAATTTCGATCCTGGCTCGAAAATCACTTCTGCTTCCTCAGGGAACTTCGAGAAGGGGGCCACCGAAACTGCCCGTGCTTCAATGATCTTAAAGACAATACCGGCATTTTTGTCCGGTCTCTCTCCGATGTCATGTCCCAAAAGCAAATTCCGGGCCACTTGAGAACTGCTCGTGCCACTCGCAAATCCGGGCCATGAGATCTCGGACCCTACATTGATCCGGTGCTGGCGAAGATACTCCGCGACGCATGGAGCCTCACCGTCACACAGGAAAGTCTCCGTACGGAACACATAGCCCCAATACAAGGGGCAGGCCTTCAAAGCGGTAGAGATGTGTTGAGCATAGGGGGCCCACAGGTGACGCAAAGGCGAATCTTTGCTTGAGAGTGCTCGCTGGCAATCTCGTGGGATGCGCGAGCTCAGCGTGTGGACATGGAGGGCAAAAATGGTTTGGGGCGTGGCGGGCGAACCTTCTGCAATGGCCTTCAAAACGAAGAACTTGGCAGCTTCTACCAAACCCTTCATTGAGTTTCCATCACTCCACTCCAGCAAATCCTTTTTAGCTGGCTTTGGCCAAAGTTTCTTCCATTCCTTTTCCCAATGTGGAAGCAAGGTCTCGAGCAGGAACTGCTCCAAACTGCCCTTCCCATGTAAAGTCCCGGTCGCGCTTGGTGATACAAAGAGGCTATTCAAACCCTTGAGACTGGCCTGGGGATTTGGGGCAACAGTGACATCCAAACAACTACCCTTGCCATCAAACTGCAAATCCACAATCTGGCTATCCTGCAGCGTCCCCTCCGCTGGATACTCGAAGCTGGGATTGTTGACGCACTTGCTGGGGAAGCTGAAGACTTCCGGCACACCACCAGGGCGCAGTGCTGTAATCTCCAGGCGCGCGCAAAGAGCAGAAGGCTCAGAAGAATCCGTGGAATCCCAGCTGCGGATCTTCACGATGTGCTTGGACTCCAGGTGCAACAACTTCCACTCACCGGCTTGATTCTGCAAAGCTTCGTGTGCATTGGTGGGATACCTTGGGATTTGCACTCCAGGAACGTGGAAAATGTAAATATATATATATATATATATATTCCCCGGAAGGTGATGGTAGATGTCACCACAGGGAAAAATAAAGGATCACTTTAAGCAAGACCAGGATACTCTTTCACTTGGTCGCCGGGAAACTCAAGGCTCAAGCCTAAGATGCCGGCTTTGGAAACAAACACCTTGGCCCTGGTGATTGAAGCTGCCACGCCATCTACCATGCGGCGACGCAGACTTGTTCTGGCTTGCTCTGAGTGAGCAGTCCCGTTGGCAGCTTCAAAGTCATTGGCATCCACCTGAAGCAGTGACAATGCTACCAAGTCATCGGTCTGGTACGCTCTCTCCTGCACTTCCTTGAGTCTGGCCAGTCCCTCCTTGTCTGCTCGCGTCAGTTGCAAGGGGCAATAGCGGTTGAAGAGTTGCAGCATCTCCTTGGATTTCCAAAAAGTTGCCCATAGCATCGCTGTCTGACCAGTCTGATTCGGTTTCAATGCGATGGTCTTGTCCTCCTTCAGCATCCACTCCACAGCTGCCGTGTCGTTGAGTTGAGCCGCCAGCAAGAACGCTGACCAGCCATCAGGATCTCGATCATGTAAGCTGTCCGCTTTGCCTTCCAAATCTCCTTTGGAAGATCTCATCAATTCTTGGCCCGGCGGGGCCACAACAACACTAAGTTCCTTGGAGAGGAAGCGTTCGGCTTCACTGCACCCTTTGGTCATGTTCTTCAGGTGCTCCTTCAACGCAAGCCTTTGATTCTCTACTCTATCTAACACTTGCTTTGTGAAGCAACGGCATCGCATCTTGGCAATGCATTTGTGAGTTTTTCCGGCATCCCCACAACAGACCTCAAGAAAACAAATCAGCTCCCTCAAGCCCAAAGCATTGGGGATGTAGAAGTTGTTTCGTGCCGCAAGGAGTTTAATGCCTTCAGCGCTTGTCAGCTTCATCAACATCACTTTCACGGAAAGGCAATTGTCCAAATCAAAACCACTGTGAGAATGTCCATCGTGCCCTTGAGTTGTTCAATGTTGCTGGCCTTTCCCGACAACGATCTCGCATCATCTGTGGCAAAGCAGGCGCAGCCCTGGCAAGAGATGTTAGAGCTATCTTCGAAGCTAAACTCAAGCTTTCCCCCTTGTTGCGCCGCTGCTTGCTCTGGATCATGCCCCAAATCGCATGTAAGGACTTTGCGAATCCTCTTTTCAGCATCTTGGGCTTGGGTCATGAGGTCTTCTTTTGCTGCAGATATCTCTTCTGAAGAGCATTCTTGACACCAAACCTGTATGCCAGTGTCAATCAGGAGCTCCTTCTCAATGTGCTTGAGATCAGGGAAGGCGATATCTTTCTTCAACTCCTTCGCAGCGGCGCTGCAAAGGTCATTTGACTTATGCAGTATTGTGGCCACCTTTGCCCAGTCGTCGTCTGACTTTGATGCCTCAGCCCATTTTTCAGTCACATGCCTCTGCAGCTGATCTAGTGGGATGCGGCCTGGAGTAGACAGGAGGCTTTGTCGAACTGACTTCAAACAGCCAAGAAATGCCTCATTGAACTTTGGTTTCAGCTTGGGGGCCGCCACATCGAAGGGTGTTTGATTTAGGTCGTCCTTCATAGTGTTGAGGAGTGGAAATTCGCGTAGCAGCAACGCAACCAGGTCTTCACAACATCCTCCCTGTGCCGCTAGGAGGTGAAGAACGGTCGACCCAAAGTCTACACGGCAAAGCTCACAAACACGTGGGGGCAGGGCCTTTGCAAGATCTTCTCTGGAGCCTTCAGACGCGAGCAACGCAGAGGCAAGCACCCTGCTCACAGCCAGCTGATGGAAGGCGATGGCCAAGGACAATGGTGTCCACCCACAACAAATACAGGCAGGAGAGTTGATGAAAGGACTTAGGGCCTCTTGCTTGAGCTCTTTCTTGAGCACCCATTCGATGATGCCTAAATTCCCCCCCTTGGCCGCAAAGTGGAGGGCCTTCCCCGGAAAGGCCCCGCTGTCCAGAAGCCACTGCACCAGCTCGCTGTAGCCCATGTAGCTGGCCACTTCGATGGGCAGGAGCCTTTCACGCGAACCACGGAGGTGCATGTTGGCGCCATGGTCAAACAGAAACTTGGCAGCGTCCAGCTTCCCGTATGCAGCAGCCAGCCAAAAGCCTGAGTAGCCATAAGGCCCACCATCGATAGGGTATCCACCTTCCAGTAGCCCTCGCACTCTGCCTGCTAAGTCCTTGCCTGACAGATCGGGTCTTTTGTTGAAGAAGTGCGTTTCCGAGATGATCACTCAGTTACATATGTGTGCGTCTTATTTTTGGCCAAGCAAATGGCACACAACATTGCACAACAAGATCCCAAGAAGGCGTTGCCCTAGTGCGGGACACAAGTAGACACAAAGTGCATAAGTTTGAGCATATCACCAGTCACTAGTATGAGCATATCACCAGTCACTAGTATGGATGTACAGCCAAAGTGTTCTTTTACTGTACCTGTCTGAAGGCTTCTGCAGCGCATGTTCAAACATCCAGCCTGTCATGATGGCTTCCTCCATGTACTTCCAGTGTCTCGCAATGGCACGATCATCCATCCTGTCCTGCTTGATGTCCAGGGAGACTTGCGATGTCGATGTCGGCGCAGACTTTTGGATCAACGTCTCCAGAATCAGCGGAATCGGCGCCTCAGGCTGGCTCGCTTCCAAGGTGCTATCAATCAGCTTGATCATCGCAGCCAAAGCATCCTGGGAAGGAACAACACATGGCGTTCGCGCGTTCCCATTCTTTTGGGAAGGAACGTTAAATACATTGCAAACATCGCAGGGCAGAAATTTGGCAACATGGACCAGCATTGCAACTCATCAACCTTGACCGGAGAAAAACCGAAAAACCTTGCGCGCAACGACGACCCTGTTGACCATCATTGAGGAATGACAATGGAATATGCATGGTCTCATCAGCCGGAAAAAACGGTTAACCCCTGTAGTGCGCGGTCGAGTTCTCGTCACTGACGTCACCGAGGATGAGGTGTTTTTGGGGGAGGCACTGCGTGTTTCGGTGTGTTTCAGAATCCTGGATCGCCGTGTGGCAGAGGTTGCCCGGTCCAAAAGCTAGGACCGCAACAAAGGATGGCAACAAATGTGGTTCCTGTAGGCCTGGCGAGTAGCTACTGATGGTAGGTTGGCAGTGATTTGTGACACATCTTTCAGTCAGCAGTTGGTTGTGTATGAAATGTGTGTTTTTAAAGGATGAGTGGGCAGTTGGTCTCACTGAAATGCAGTTCAGTCAGCAGTTGGCTGGGCATGAGCATTTTATGAAGGGCATGACCTTTTTGAATGGAGGGCATGTGCGACTGACAAAGACCTTCGCAGCTGAAAGGCTACAGCGTGGCACCATATGGCGGTACTGTGTTGCTCTCAGCTCTCTGTTTGGTGACTTATTGCTAGGGAAAAGCTGCAAAAAGAACTAGCTAGTTTAGCATGATTTCATACAGCATAGTGTAGATAGCAACAAAAACATGGTAGCAAAATAACATTCAAAAAATATATTATAGTATATGCACAATATTGTACAATGTATGTGTAGTATGCATGTGTAGCCAACTCTTGTCCCATGCTCCTTTACAGTACTCGCTCCATCCACGGTGATTGGGGGCGGTCTGTACTGGCTTCCCTCCGAGGGCATACTCAATTCACTTCACACCAACCACTTGACACCCACAGTGTGAATAAAAACCTTACCATCCATACAAAAAGGGCAGAATCCGCTCCAAGGACTCGGGGATGCTTTCCTGAAGCAGATGGGCCAATACAGCACTGGCCAGACCGTGATGCTTTTCTTGGGAACAGGGCGAGAAATGAGGAGAGGGGATTTGCATCCCATCTAGTTTAAACATGTCAATTCTAGTGAGGGCTATGGCTATGATTTGAGTGAACCCAGGCCGCTGCTCACGCTGCTCCGTGTCCAAGACTGGACGACGGCGATGGACGATGTGAGAACGAGGAAAGCGAAAAGAACTTCACTGAGAGCAATAATGTGTGTGTGTCTCCAATTCCAGATGTCTCCATGTCTACGAATCTTGACCATGGATGTTCAATTGTTCACATAGATGTTTGATGGACATAGAGGTTCAGTGTCCTTCACCACCTGATCACAGGAGCCAGCTGATGGGCCGCTGTTCACCTTCTCCAGCTCACCAGACAGTAGAAATCTCGCGGCTGCCTGGTACACTTCGCAAGCCATCACGGTGCATCGCTGAGGGCGTGGCGTTGAAAAGAAGACCTCAACTGCTTTCTGCAACCTTCCAAGTTGATTGTCAATGTCATGCTTTTCCTTGTAAGCAGGGTAGCCCTCAGACAAAGCTTTCACAAAGTCTTTGACTCCCGTGTTCTCCTCGATGAATCGCAACATCCCTTTGAGGGTGCGCTCGCCGTCAAACTTCACGGGGCACCTCTTATTCTCGCCCTTCACGAAGAGCTTCATGTTGGGGATGTAGGGTTCCGGGAAATACTCTGGGTTTGCCTCATTTTCATCCGTGTCCATCATAGCCACGACGATCCGATCCTCACTGGAACTTCCAAGCTTCTTTGTGAGATTGGCCAACTGGTACAGCAACGGTTTGATTTGCACGGAGGGGCCACACCAATCCGCTGTACAGTCCACAAAGACTGAATGATCACTGTCCAGCACCAGTTTGTCGAACTCATCAGCGACCAAGGTGAGAAGGCCAGTCTTAGGATCCGGATTCTGAGGTGGCGCCACACCGGATTTCGGCTTGTCAGTCTTGCATTTCCAGCATGTCCTGGCGGTGGAGGAGTTCCTGGTCTGCCGACCTTGTCGTTCACATTCAGAGTGCCTGCAAAGCCAAACTCCTCTAGGCTGATGCACTTGCAAAATCTCTGCCCTCGAAGGGAGATGGCCAAGAGCAATGCGAGCTTCACGTATCCGACCGCCAAGCATCCACTTCTTCTGAGAACTGGAGCACAGGCCTTTCATCCCGAAGAAGGAGAGGCCATTCTGAGTGACCAAGGAAAAAGGACCTTTGCTTCTGAGGCTTGGATAGCCAGGCTCAATCTCCAAGATGCGCTCCCCATCGAGCCAAAAAACCATCGAGAAGGGAAGGTCTGCGGAGATAGTTAGCACATGCCAATGATTGCGCTGCACCTTCACCCCACATGTTCTGGCATGTATTGGTGCTAAAGCAGGGTCTTCGCCAGTAGATTGAAATCTGAGCCCGGCGCGCTGTGCAAGAAGCTGTAGCTTGCGCAGCTGTTCCTCTTGGGTCGGCATGAGCTTGTGAACTTCTCGAGCTCCTGCCTCGTCAGAAGTCTGAATAGCATGTCTCCCACCACCTGCAAGGCTGAGATCGCTCAAGCGACTGAGCTTCCCTGCAACGATCTTCCACAGGGTGTGGTGTCGAAGGCTGAAAATCACCTTGCCCTGTTTCTCACCATCGGAATCTTCAGCACGAGCATCAGCGGAAACATCTGTCAGGTCCTCCAGAAGTTCAACGTCCTCCAAATTCTCTGTAGCTTCTAGGTCTTCTTCATGGCATACGAAGCAGGACTTTGGTGACCAGCCCCACTCGTGTCGCAACCAGGCATCTGTCTCTTCCAGGCTCAGAATGACATCTCCAAGTGATATGTAGAATCTCTCTGGGTCCACGATATCAGATTCAATGTGTGGTTGCAAATGAATCGGTATGCCCTCTCCAAGTTCAGCACTAAGGTGATCTGCATGTGGATGTTCTGCTCTCCACTGTCTTCCCTGGTGCCGGCAAAGTGCCGTCAGGAGCGGGCAAAACTCCGATGAGCCGAAAGCAAAAGGTGCTTGTCCCCAATTGATGCAAATACTTCGTCCCCCATGAAGAACCAGCTCGGGGAAGTGGTGGCCTTTGGCTTCCTTCATGTCCTTCTCTTCTAGCCTCTTCCCATTCAAAGAAAGGCTCGCCTGGCCAGCTTCCGTGTTGTAGAGGCATCCAAGAACATCTCCTTGTGAGAACCTCACACAGGTCACGTCAAATTCAACATCCGCTCGCCCCGTGAGCTCTTCTTCCTTGTCAGACTTGTCAGAGGAATCTGGCACCGAGTCCTCTGCTGAGGAATTGGACGCTTTGCGTCTCCTGCGTTGAGGTGGAGTCTTTTGGTCCAACTGTGCCTTTTTGGTGGCGGTTGCTGCCAAACTCACCGCGTGCGGATGCCCCGGCTGGCTCACAGGAATCCAAGCGACTGACTTTAGACTGTCACGTTCCTCCAAAGTGATCTCGAAGTACACTTTACGACTGGCTTTCATCTCTACATCACTTGGCGCATCAGGTGAAAACTGCCGAAAGCTCAGAGCCTCTGTCTGGGGTGCAGAAATCTTGTTGCTTGACCACCTCACTGCACGCTGCAGAAAAATGCTTGGCAAGCGCAAGGACGAAGGATTTCGAATTCGTTTTGCAGACCAAGCGCCAATGTCCTGGGCAGCGTGACGGAGATTTCCTTCCATTGCCTGGCTGGAGACCTGACCAACCCAAGAGTCCACGTCCGGGCGTCCCGTGCAACTGAAACTGATGTCGCACTTTTGCACGATGTCAGTGGCTGTCATGCAGCCCGACAGGAAGACCCCTGCGCCAAGGTCCAACTGGAGAACCTCACCTTGCTGGGTGGCAACTGCCATGGCATGCTTGGTCTCGTGCCCATCGGTCTTCGTCTCAATGTGCCAAAGGCCACCCAAGAAAGATTGGGATGACAAGCGGAACCCCTTGAACAAGTCCTTCAGGGAGTTGAAGGTGGAAGCCTCGCCATCACAGGATGCACTTGTCTCCTTCCACGTACCGCTTAGTTCAGCAAAAGGTTCAAAGTCACCTGCTGCACCTCGAAAGTGCCAGACCAGCTTCAGATGTGACTCTGTGTCTCCACTGTCCCACACACCTTCGAAACGGCAGCGGTCGCGTCCCACCAGCACGCCTCCCACAACCTTGCGTGTGCAAGAATCCACTTGGAGCCAGATGCGCAAACAAATTTCAGCTTGCGACGTATCCGAACCTGCTTCAGTGCCAAGATGCAGGCCCAGTGCGCTGAACGCTTCAGCAAGTGCACCTGGGTCAGAAACAGCATTGAGTTGCAGCAAAAAGTCCGTGGACAACTCCTGGTCCACCTGCCCTGCTTCTTCTGACAAGCGCGCCTCTTGTAAACCTTCCGGGGCTACTCGGCCATCAGGCCACACATAAATCTCTCCTGCTGGTAAGTCGCTGTAGAGATCTGTCTCTGGCTTCCCCCAGTGAATCAGTGTCAGCCTCTCGCTTGGAAGCTGCGGGAGGCAGAACCACATGGTGAGATTGTAGCGGTCCACGAAGTCGAGCTCCCCAGATTCCGCTGCTTCGGGTATTTTGAGCGGAATCTTCTGTACCACAGCTGCGGATTGGTCCAGCGACCAAAATCGGAGGTTCTGACCTCTCAGGCGGGGGTCATTGTCTTGAACAGACTCGTTGGTCAAGCCCACAAAGTTGGTAAATCTGGGAGGGTTAGGCTGTTGAAAGCTAAAGACTGCGCAAGTGCCCGAATCTTCCAACCGAGGATTCTCACCCAGCTGCTCTTCTAGAATCTCAGCCCAAGAATCCTCCAGCTCCTGCTTGGCCGCAAGCTCCTTCTCCTCCTGGTCCTTTCTTAGCTTCAGCTCGCTCGCCGAAACCTTCTGAAGAAACTCCTGGTGCTCTTCATCTTCATGAATGGCAGTGAGCTGAGTTCGAAGACTCCTACGCACGGACTGTCTCTCTTCCTCACCAGACATGTGGCTCAGCTGGCCCAGGAACAATGAGAGCTCGTCCTCGGAGATGGTTCCACTGCGATCCGCATCGATGGCGTGAAACCACTGAACCAACTCCCTCATGTCCTCCTCTGAGGCGGAGATGTTGAACATACCCATCAAGGCGGAAGAGAGTTCCTTGACATCCACGTCTCCGGACTGGTCCCAGTCGATGCGTGCAAAGAAGCCTGAAAGGTCGTGATCCAGAAACGAGCACGCTTTCTTCTTCAGCAGCTCGCCCCGGAGCCTTTTCACTAGAAAGTCCCACTGGTGATTTGACCGAAAGACTTCAGCAACACTGAAGGCCCGCCAGTTGTCCCCAAGAGCTCTGCGACGGCACCCACCCACTGAAACAAAGAAGCGCTCCCTCGCCAAGGGATCTTCCCAGCACATCGCTTTCAGCAGTGCGTTCACTTGATGTCCTTCGAAGGGATCATTGAAAATCAAGGTTAACCAAACTTTCTACCTGTTCTGGTTTAGTGGGGAGACCAATCCCCCAAAAATAGCTATATATATATATATACAGTTATATATATATATATATACTTCAGGCCAGTGTATATATGCAAAGGTTATCAACTGACTGCGTTCACTTGATGTCCTTCGAAAGAGGTCTCGCAGTTGAGGAACCTTGAGACTTGCGCGGCTTGCTGTGTCTGAAAGCCTTTCTCGCCTTGCTCAAAGCCGGAAGCTTTGTCAAAAGGCTTGCTCCAATCCACCAAAGATCTCAATGCAAAACTGGCATGCTTGGCACCAGCGAAGACTGGACCGTCTTTGCTGCTCTTGCAGTGGGCGATGCGTCGCAGGGTCTCTGCTTCAGCGAGGCTGACTAAGACAAAGAAGCGGTCGGCTTCAGTCTCATGATGAACATTTGAAGACAAAACGTTCCGTATCCCGTCCATGCCCAAATCCTCTCCAACACAGTCCATGAAATCTGAGCCCAAATCAAAGGCGGCAGCTGTGACCAGCTGCACCTGCTTGGCCAGGAGATGTCCGCCATCTGTGTCGAAGAGAGGCCAAACTCTTTGGAGACAATCTGTGATTCTGGCCTCCTGCTGCTCCTGCTTCCATGGTGCCTCTGTCGATATGTGAACTCTCACGCCAGAAGCTCCATCTCCAGAAACTGGACGACTCCATTCCAGAACCACTGCCACATTCTTCACCCTTCTGAAGCCCGACCAACTTCGGTTGAAATAGTTCCTCGAGATCAGAAGGTCTGCTGGCAAGTAAGGCAACGATGGACAAAGCTTGTTGACCTTGAACTCAGCCGCTCTGTAGAACTGCTCTGGGATTGACTTCAGTGTAAGGACCACCTTCATAGGAAAGGTTGCATCAGCTGGGATAGTTTGAGCCAGGTTAAAGCTTTTGTCCCCCTCGCAGGCTTCAAGCTTCACTACCTCAAAAAGCGAGAAAACACTTCCAGGAAATAACAACAAGCCGCGCTCTTGAACTGCCAACTTCAAAGTGAGGAAGAGTTTGCAAAAAATATCGAAGAATCACTTTATAGCTAATGGGATGGCAGTAACAGTGTACACGCTTTGCGGTACGATATGGGCTGGAACGAATTCACAGTTGGCTTGTGCAGCAGTGGTCCTGAATGACTCAAGGGTTAGCCTTCTGCAGGATAACTCACACACCAAAAAAAGGAAGAGCTGCTACCTACAATTCTCAGACGGAGGACTCTTCAAAAAAAGTTGAAGTTGAAAGGTTTGGAAGCTTCGGTGGCGCCCACGTCGCCCGACTTCGGCACCGTTCGGTCCAAGCTTCCAGGTCAGGAGGCGCCAGAAGAACTCGAGGGTCCCCAAAGACCATCTGGTACCGGACCTCATGGTCCTAACAGGGCATCAAATGGAGGTGGAACCGCAACATCTGGTATAATTCAAAAGCCTCCCCTCATGGTGGTGATATGCAAAGTTAATTAGGGGGCCAATGTAACGGACCTCATGGTACTAACCAGTTAGGAGTCACAAACACCATCTGGTATCGAAGGTCCTAACAGGGCCTCGCACTACCGTCGCACTACCGCACTACCGTTGGGGTGAAGAACCGACAACAGGGCGAGAAAGGTCGTCCACCCGAGCGGTGGAGTCTTTTCGACTGAGGACACTGAGGGCATATTTAGCTACATTGAGGTGGTTGCAAGTTGCAGGGATCAATGCGTGGACAGGTGGATGATGCGGAATCCATCCCAACAGGGCCCCCTCTCCTTCTCTGCCGGGCTCAGCCCTTCCAGCAAAGTCTGGACTTCCTCCTTGGTGAGGCTGGTCTTCAACTTCCGAAGATGCAAGACCTTGGCCAAGGTCTCGTAGTGCCAGGGATCAGGCTCTTCGTCGTCACGGCAGTAGAGCAAATCGACAAACTTTTCAATCTCCATTTCTTGCTCCTGCTCCTGTTCTTGCTCTTTCTCTTGCTCCTTCTCTTGCTCCTTTTCTTGCTCTTTCTCCTGTTCGGCGTCCAAGCCTTGGCCGACGTCTATGTGCAAGGTGGTGGCCTTCACAAATTCCGACACTTCGTCCTGGACCATCTTCAACATCTCACTCCCTGTTTTCTTCTCCTGACCAACTTTGAAGAACTGCTCTTCCGGTTTTGGCCTGCTGGGGGCATCAGGGTGTGGAACTTCCAAAAGGCCCGCTTTCTGGGCTGTCTGAATGGCCCTCTGCAGTATTTCATCCATCGCCCGTGATTTCGGAAGTTCATCCTTGACGTTCATGATGACAGTATCTACGAAAGTGGCCGCGGACTTCTGAACCTTTTCTTCCTCGACATCTCGGAAAGAGAGGCGACCGTCATGACCCAACAAGCAGCGGAAAGCCGGCAGTCGCCACACATTTGCCGCATCCTTCATCTGCAGGGATGCCCACTGCAGCTGATCGGCTAAAGCGGTGTTCAGCATAAGCCACGCGCCCACTTGAGGCACACGCAATTCAGGGGGAACTGCACATTCAGCACCGCCTGTGTCTGTTCGACAGGCTTCGGAAGACTGCCAAGGGTCATACATGCTATCCATCATCTGCCGTAGTTCTGGCACGATGAGCAAATGGATTTTTTGCCCTTTGCCAATCCCACGCATGCGATATGCCCCTTGGGAATAATCCCGGAACACCATGTCTTTGCCCAGGGTCAAGGCAGCAACCGCATCCGGTTTGTGTTGGATGTCCATTCCAGTCGTGTGCACTTGGTCATAGAACACAAAGCGCTTTTCAAGAGAGATCGAAGGGCTCTCATCAAGGTTTACAACAGCCTGCGAAGAACGAACCAAGATCTGCTTACGTCCACTTTCGGACACGAACACACACCCCTCGAAGTCTGAAGCAAGGCCCTCGGAATCATACAACAAGAACTGAGCAACTTCTTGGTTCGTCATTCCGGTGATGAGCGCCCCAGTATCAATTAAAGCATGGAGAGGAGGATTCCTGCTACTCGCAATGTGTCGCAGCAAGGACTTGGCGTTCCATTCATTGTCTCCGATCTCGTGTACGCTGACGATGCCACCTGGCCAAACCGCTGAATCTCGAACCGCGGATCGTTCCAAACCAACGGACATGGAGAATGACATGTCCAGACTCCAGTGACTCCAGACTTCAAGATGGTTTTCAATGCCACGTGGTGCACCGAACCCGTGAACGAGTTCTTGGGGCCCCTGGCCGGCACGCGGGCCCCAAACGAAGGAGAATCAAACAGGTGAACATCTTCCAGGGATGGCCTATAGGGGGTTTAGAAGATAACGTCTGCCGCGGCTGGCACCCGAACGTGGTTTTGCTGGCTGCAGGGACTTTGGGTGAGAATTTGAGGGAGGAGAATCAGCAAACAGTTGCAAAAACAAATATAGAAACACCGCCCTGAAGGTTGTAAAAAAAAGACATGAGATGCGAGTAATACATGACCACGCCAACCAATGTCTCGCACTCGCACCCAGCCTTCCGAAGTGCAAAGGTTGTGAATGCATTCCCCCTCGCTGCCAGGCTCAAAGTCGCAAGAACCCAACTCCATGGGCATCAAGTCCGAAGGAGTTCCAGAGAAACCTAAGCGGGTCTTGAAGAGAATGCCACCCCCAAGATCTTCACCGCTGGCAGAAAGCTGCTGGCTTTGAAAGCGCATGAACGCCGGGAAGATGCAATTTTTCAGGTACCAATCAACCACCGCCGCAGTCTTGTGGAGTAGTTGGTGTAGCTCCTCCATCTGTCTCTCGTTGGTGAGCTCTAGTTCATGAAGCTGGCGAAATTTTGGCAACTCAGCATTGTCAGTGGGCTCGCCTGCAATTCTCCCGCCTGAAGCTTCAACCCATGCTTTGAATAGCTTGTTGCTTGCACGCTGGCCAGGCTTCCCAGGCTCTCGTGAATATCTCTCAGACAAAGTCGACAACAAATCGGCCATGTCGCTCTTCCTGAGGCCTTGGTAGCGATAGCTCAAGAAGCTCAATCCCACCAAAACATCAGGATGCTGGAACTCAGCGGCTGGTGACGGCATGTCCTTCCCGATGAAGGGGATACCCAGCTTGCCGCGGGTTTCTGACATCAGTGGATTCTCTAGCAAAGCATCGTTGACCTGCTCATCTGTCATCAATCCAAAGGTGACACGGTTGATCTTCTTGAGGCAGTGTGGTAGAATGACATTGATCCAGTCTCTCGCCAAAGTCAAGACTTTGATGTCGTGAGCGCTAATCTGCGTCTCTCCAGCCATCCTTGCCTCAAGTGTTGCAACTTTTGCTTCCATCTGCGTGTCTGGCCGCAGCTTCCATCCTTCTTCTTCTTTCAGTTTCACCAGCTGCCACTGCAAGGATACAGGACACTCATCATCCCCAGGAGTCACAAAGGCCTCGAAAAAGGCTTCCACCTCAGCCTCCTCACCCTCCAGCCGCCCCAAGATCCACTTCTGAGATCCTCGTTGCATGACCCACTGGTGTGACGCTGACGACGCCTGCAAAGTTGGTCGACTGAGTCCAGAGAGAAAGAAGTCACCACCCTCACCTGGACGTGCGAAGTATGGGCCACCGATCTGGACGTCCGTGTCTTGGTAAGTCAGCCTATACTTGCCAGGTATCAAATAGTAGTTGCTCGAAATGTTGCAGGTGTTGCCAACGAATGCCAGAACCTCCTCAGACTGAAGCCCCTGGCCATCTGCACCACCTATGAACTGTCTTCCAGTGTGCTTCTGGTTCAGGAAAATGTTGAGCCATTTCAGCAGAGGAGGCTTCATCTCCTTTTGGTAGAATTTCTCATCCAAAAGAACCATGTGTGGCTCCTTCATGATGAAACACTGGTCGAAACCTCTGTCGATTGCCTGCTTCAACTCCACCAGAGTGGTCGCATTCTTTGTCGGAGCTATGTCAGAGACAGCGGCAAGAAAGCACGACTCCAGCAAATGCAGTGGCAGTTCCCAGCGAAGGGGAGCGAGATCTATGGGTTGTTTCTCGCCAATCGGGAAGTTCAGCTCAGACTTCAAAGGATGCAACACCCAGTCGACCTCGTCAATCAGCACCACAGACTCCTGCAAAAGTTCAAGAGTTTGCCCCAAGTTCACCATGTTGCTTCGGAGTTGAGGCGTCCTCTGTCTGGCCTTCCGATCATTCAGTACAAGCAAAGACTCCACAAAGCGGAGCATGAGGCTTTTGGTGGCCATAGGCACGGTCAGAACCAAATCCCCACTGTCGCGAAGTCTGCTAATCTTCTTGAAGAGCTGGCAGTCGATGTCGTCACTACGAGTCATCTGGAAGGTGAAGGTGCGCTTGAGAACGATGTTGGAAAACACGGCGTTGAGCACCGACTTGGCAAACTCCAATAGGGGCGCGGGGACCATCAAAACGACCAGCCGTCTGCCATCAGCGAGCAGCATACCCAAGAGCGGGGAGACAACTGTCGTTTTTCCTGCTCCCATGATCATCTGCTTCACCAGCGAAACATCATGTTCCGCCGACTTGGAGAAATCTCGAACCAATTCCACCTGCCGCCGCCGTAGCAGCTTCTTGTCACTGAACTCAAAGCTCAAAAGTCTGGGGTCCAAAGCATACTTGGTTCCAGCTTCACATCCTGCCATGTAACACCTCTCAGCAACCAAGGTCTGACAAAGAAGAAAGCTTTCCTCCTTGATGCGAGCTGCGTGAGCTTTGGATGGTGGACTCTTGATGGCCGAGATCAAACTCTGCAGCTGATCCAAAGCTCGGTTGATTTGAATCACTCGGACGGTGTGGAGCATGAGAACAGCCACCTGCTGAACCAAGCTTTCACACTGATTGCTTGTGAGGAAGGGGTTCAAGTGAAGTAGGTTTTGCAAGGATGCATTGCTGCACACCACTGCGCAAAGGAATTGGAACCAAGCTTCTGCTTCCTGGCGAGCATAGCGAAGCAACCAAAACCTCAGAATCTCTTCTGCTGGTCTTTCGTGAGGATGATCGAGACTGGAAGCTTCTTTCAGCACATGTTCGGTCAACCTTTCGATCTCTTTCACGTCAGCAGCTCGCAGCCTTTCCAAGGCAATCCTCAAGTCAAATGTCTCTTCTGGCACGGGAGGCCTATTGTCGCCCGCTGCGTCCACAAACAACAAGAGTTGTTTTCGGTCATCACGATGCTGTTCTGCGAAGCGCTGCATCTCGTCTTTGATACGTTTCAGGGCCTTTTGTGAAAGAGGCGATTTCATGTCGGGATGCTTCTCAAGTTGAAACGGCAGGGTTTCTTTGACATGTTCGGCCCCAACACTGGCCACATACCGCTCCAGCCCGCCTTCTAAGCCTTCCAGTGGGCTCCGACTGAAGTGCTCCAGATTGGATGGGCGCGAAGCTAGGTAGATCTCCCCTTGCAAGGCATTGCTAACCCTCGGGGGCTTCCAAGAAACAAGGCGGTCCAGTTGCTTGGCCAAGGGGCCACTGCGCAGCTCTGGTCGAACACCACCCAGCCCCTCGCCACTTGGACGCACGGAAACTATTTCGACCTTTTGGGTTAGGCACTTGAAAGTCTCGACACTGCGCGGCCAAAACAACTCTGAGAGGTGCCTTCGACAAGCAGCGCTCAGTTCCCAGACTTGACTATGAAACTCGCGCTCCTTCTTTGCGATCAAAGGCGGCAAATTCTCCATCAACTCCTTGTTGTGGATCATCAAACGCAGGAGGCTTTGCTGAGTCCCAAATGCTCGGCTGAAGCTGGACAGAAAAAAAAGGATGCTGCCAAAGCAGTGCGAGTGGCGGCAAAGTTGCCCATTCCTCAGTTGCACCTTGACACCATATTTGTGCTCGAAGAGGAGCAGGTACAGCATCCAAAAAATTTCCCTGCCCGCGTCTTCTGAGTGAAGAGCTCCATAGGCGACGGCCACGGCATCGTTGAGTTTGAGCTTGCGTCGGTCTGGAAGCCCGACATGTCCCAGTTCTGAGATGATGCTGTCCGGGCTGCGGGTCATGAAGCTGGTGTCCTTGCTTTGGAACACACTGCCCGGTCGTGAAGACTTGGGACCTGTTCCCCTCGCTGGCAAGCTGAGCTCGACCTGGCACAGGTCCACCTGGCTTGAAGGTGCCTTTCCAAGAGCTTCCAACACGCTTCGTCTGTTGGAAAGGGTGGCAACCATGTCTGGAGGCAAATGTTTCCAGTTGACTGACTGCACAAGGAGCCGCTTGGCATCCTCCATGTGCACTGGCAGAGATGCTGAACGAAGCAAAGCCTGAAATGCAGCCAGGAACTTTTTATCCTCCACCTTCTCAGCCCAATCTCTCCTTGGGACAGACTCCAGGTGTTCCAATGCAATCCGTAAGCGCTCGTTGTGATCATCGATCAGTTGCAAAGCTCGCTGTTCCTCTTCCAAAGTGAGACGGCACGAGGCCGACACATGGTGAAGCTTTTGCACGTAGAGCGCCATCTCCAAGTCTAGCCTCATCGGCAGTTGCATGTCAGCATCACCGGTGACCACTCCAATCTTCACCTTACAAGCACAAGCATCCGGATGCTGATCGTCCACCACAGTCTGCAAGTGTGAGAACACATGAAAAGGCTCGTCTTGGTATCTGCTATCAGTGGCTATGGAAAGCACCAACCGAGCCACCTCATCATAGAGCCTGTGCTGGAACTTCAGCAACAACAAATAGAGTGCAGCTGTCGGAGTTGGTGTGTAAAGGAAAGTCTGTGACAAGTGGACTTCGTACAGAAACACCTTGACTCTGTGGGCTGACCATACCCGATTCTCTCGCTCCAAGACCAGTTCGCCTGAGAATGGGTCCGACTCAATGTCTGGCCGGTGGGTTAGAACAAAAGGCACCAAAATGTGGTAGTTGTCATTCCGGTCCTGAAGCGGAACGCTGTGAGGAAGCCCTCTCATCAATTGCACCACTCTGGGCGGGGCATGAGTCACCAAGCGCATGCCCTTGAAGTCCTTGGAGAGCAGCTGGCCATCTTTGTGCTCGAAACTCAAGCGCAATCTGGGCAGCTCAAGGATGTCAATGGAAGATCCCGCAGCTCCATCCACATCGTAAGACCATGCCAAGCAGTGCGATAGGTTTTCAAGCCTTGAAATGACCTGAGCGACGACAAAGCCGGGGGAGCCCTCCTCTGCGAAGAGCAAGTCAACCAGCTTTGGCCCTGCCAAGGTCTTTCCTGTGGGGGACTTCGTGATTTTTCTCACAAAGGCATGAAGGCCTGTGCTCCCAGTGTGCTTTGAGGTATGCCTTTTCACAAGTCTGACCAACAGCCAATGATCCATGCTAGCGAAGGCTTCCTCCTCGTGCTTCTGGTTGAGCGGATAACCACGCAGGACGGCATCCTCTGTCATGTCTTGATAGAAGTGGTAGGTCTCCAAAAGGCACGCGGGCACCACCCCAAGCAGAACTTCCTTGGGCAAGAACAGCTCCCCTCTCCGCGTCAACTTGGACCAACTGATGCCGCGGGCTGCTCGTGCTGTGCGCGCAGCCGCCTCGAGGCCTTTAACCTGCCGAGGGTTCCAAGATGTGTTTATTCCAAGAAACGTCGTTGAGAACTGACAAAAGTAGAGAAAGAAAGCAAGAACAGGCACAGCAAGCAAACGCGGAATGCCACCTCGGCCACCTGTGCTAGGCGGAGCAAATCACGTAGGATGGCGCCGCTTTGCAGCAGTGGGATACGGCAGGTGTCCAGCGTCCCACCTCTCTCGGTTCCCCGGACCATGAATTTGAGCTCTCCTGTGACAGGGTCATACTCCCGGAAGCTCAGAATCTGCTTGCCCAGCGGAGGTGCGGTCTTCGAGGTGTCCTACCAAGTCGGCCACTGAAAAAGATGCCACACGCTCGAAAGGAAACTCATTACTCGTGCGTCAATGCATAAGGCCTCACCATCGCTGAAAAGAAGCTTGGTGAAGTGTTCTTTGGGGCACCATGTGAACTTGGCTCAAACCAAAAGCGGAGAAATTCCATTTGGGACCAAAAGACTGGCTGTTGGAACTTGTCTGCCCAGCCTTTCGGTTTCTGGATGGCCCAATGGTCTCAGGGCAGTCAACGACTACTTAACAAGGATTTCCAGATAAATCTCCTCACAGTTTGACCCTCATGGCCCGCCCAATGATGCAGAAGTGTTTTCAACTGCAAGACATGTCCGGCCTCCGTCTTTCGCTCAAGCATCGACTTTGGCCAGAATGAAGTCGACCCACCTTCTGCTTTCACTTTTACGGTGCCACTGTCAGTTACCCTGACGACTTTCACCATGGTGCCGAGGTGTTGTGTCAAACGATCAGCCCACCCAGCTGGGGAGTTCTCCAAAATCTGCTTCGCTTCGGCAACGCCCATCTTCCGGATTGTTACATCATCTCCCTGGCTCAGGGATGACTAGTTGCTCACCGCAACTACAAGTAACAAGCCAAACGAACGACAGAAATGTCGGCATTAATCATCACCTGCAACCTCAGTTGGTAACACACAGGACCCACCCATGCGCGTATAAAATTGAGCTTGCTGTTACGCAAGAAAGGCCTCTGATAAAGGTATACACGCCAAGGAATGCTATGTTTCACGACGCTTTGCTTTTTCCCTGTGGGCCGCATTGCAAACGAGTACCAGCGGGCTGGTCCAGCGGCTTTTCTCCATCTTCTGGTGTTCTATGTGATGTGTGGCTCTCACAACTGACTGTTTCTTAGCAAGGAATGAGGCAGTGGACCCTAAGGAATCCCTATTGGGAGGTCATTCCTGCATGCCCCACAAGTCGCACCAGTCAGACAAGCGGCTTGTTTCGGCAAACAGGTCGCCTTTTTGGGAAGAGTTTCTTGTGTGACATGTGGCATGTTGCAAGGGCCGGAGGTGCAAGGGCTGAGTGTTCAATGGTCTGCACCTGAAAGCTCAGTCAAACGACGCAGCCCGAAGTGTTCCAATGTTCAGAACGTGGCGGCCCCTGGCTACACCAATCGTGTCAGCAGCAGCAGCAGCAGGGTCGTGGAACAGCAAGGGGCAAATGTTGCAGTGCGGAGGTCGAGAACGATGAGAACTTGAGAACATCAAGAATACTTGCTAGCACAGCTTTTTTCCAGAAAAAGGGGTGATCTGATTAGCACATATTAGCACTGCATTTGGGACAGCTACTGGCATTGTAGCAGGAACTCTGCTCATCATTCACATCTGATGACTTCTTATGGAAAACCAAGCGATTCAAGAGCTTCTGAAACTGGGTACCCAGGCACCCTTACAAAACTGTCAATAATTGTAGGTTCTTATGTAGATCTTGTTGAGGTGTCGCGGGTGACGCAACAAGCAAATTGTGTGTAGAAAACATTTGCATCTTTCAAAGCTATTTCAACGGCTACCTCATAAAAGAAATTATATAGTCATATATAGTCCACGTCCAAACTGTTTAAAACACTTTTTGGCATTCCTTGAACATCGGCCTCGTTAAAGTCTTGTCCCTTATGAGATTGCTTGGCAACTTCAAGATTGTACTTGTGGTCGCTTTTGTCGGTGTCAGGCTCAGCTTCCTGGACAAGGCTGAAGATCATCTCATGACATTCCTTTGAGCCGTCAGGTGCCTCCACAAATTGAACTTGAGATTTCTGCAAGGTAATGTCACTCATGTCAAGTTCTGAATCTGAGGAGTCCATGCCCTCGTCGTCCGACTCGTTTTCGGGCCTCTGTGGAGGCCAGGGCAAACCAAGGACTTGCCTCTCCTCTTCAATCGCTGCGCCAACGTTCAGCTGGCGACGGCAAACTGTCACTGAAGGAGGCTGCTCACCCAATCCAGAAGGCTTGCCAGCTGCAAACCGCTCCAGGGTTGGCCAAATGGATTCTCTCTCGTCAGCGCTCGGCTGCATGTGCCGCAAGCTAAAGCGGCAGTCGGTGCAGTATTCGAGCACTCGATAGAATCGATGCCCGTAGCTGCGAATGCCAAAGACTTGAACCATCTGCAAGTCCCTGAAGACATGCATCTCTTTCCAAATCTTTCCTGGTACCTTTGGATGGCAGCAAGCGAGAATTGCCACCGGTGCCGACACGGGAGCTTCGCTGTTGAGGAGGAACTTCATCGGAGGTTCTTGCGGGTTGGGCGGCCAGAATTGCATCCTGATGGGCTCAAATAGGTCTCCGATCCACTCCAATCCTTCTTGCAGTTCCTCCGCATCGTACAAGTCATCATAGCCAACGCAAACAGGTAGGAACTCTGGGGAACCAGGAGAGACTGAAGCCCATTTCAAGATCATAAAGTCATGCGACATGAGCTCGAACACCACCACAGTGGAACTCTCAAGGGTTCTGCTTCCCTGCATGGTTCGCAGTTCCCGGTTTTCACGGTACAAGACCTTTTGCAAAGCTGGGCTTTTGATGAGATCCTCGTCCAAAGCTTGTATAGACGTGCCCCTCATCGAGACTTGGAGCAATTGGAGATTGACTTCCAACCAATAGACGTCCTTTCGAGGCAAGTGCTTGATGCATTCAGAATCACCACGTTCATCAAGCGCATAGCACCCCGTTGATTTCAAAATATCATCATTGATCTTGCCCCAGGCCTTTTTGCCTTGCACTTCACCCCCCTCGCGACCACGGTCTTCAAGCGCATACTGCTTGAGAACTATGTCGAGAGCCTCGTTGAACTGGCTGCTGGAATCACAAGAATCAAGCCATTCCAACAAGAACCGCCTGTGCACCTGAAGAACCTCCATCACCTCTGGCTCAGGTATCTGCAGGAAACCAGCATTCCAGGTGTGATGGGCCACCAAAAACGAATACGACCCGAGTAGCCTCTCCACATGGTGATACGGAGAACGTTTTTGGCTTCCCTTCGCCCTGCCAACTAGCGGCAAGCTACGTAGCAGCAGCAGAATGTGAGCATGAATGTCACACATCCGCTGTACGTTTTCATCCATGAGGTCAGGCTTCTGTTGGCTGGCCTCCCAGAGCTCTTTCAACCAGCGCTCTAGGCAACTCAAAAGCCCTTGCCCTTGCTGCCCCAACATGCATTGGTCATGCTCCTGCATGGCCTTGTGCAAGACCTGAACAACATCGTGGTACTTGGTCGTGCCGGATTTGGGGAGCGCAAACTCCCAGTTCTTTTGTTGAGACCTGTGCTCCCCCTTCATGATCTGGTGCAGGAACGTGACGGCGCTCATCACTCGAGCATAAAGTCGTGAAATGAACAAAACCATGTCCACCGTCTTGGAAGTTGATGAAGTAGCTACATCCAATGCCAGATTCAAGCAATCCGTGAGAGCGTCCAGCAATGGCTGCGGTGAATGAGTAAGCTCCAGCAAAAGTTGGCCACTTGGCGACCCCACCAAGGCCTTCTCTGCTCTGCCAGTCGCTGGCACTTGCTGGGGGCATTCAGAGTCATTCCCGCTCAAAACAAGGCGGCCTGGCTCAAACAGTGCTGCCTGCAGCATGGCTTGCAGGGCTGGATGGCGGAGAGCCAACACACGGTCGTGTCGACAGAAAAAGCGAAGCAACAATGGTTGGCGAAGATATGGTACTGTGAGGTAGCTGAGAAGCAACTCGACATCACTGGCCATGAGCGTGTTCTGAAAGTTTGGGAGGCTCCTGGCAAATGAAAAGATGTCCAACAAAAATACCCTAGATTCCGTCCCCCTAAACTTCTTATATGCGACCTCTACAAAAGCTTCAACTCACATTTCAAACGGAACAAAGCTATAATATGAGAAGAAAAGAACCACCCTCGGCTCCTCATGTACAACAAGTCGTCTTCACACTGCACCGGACTTGGGGTGTGGTTGGATGCTGTTGCACTGCTTCGCCAGCGATGACCGTCCCCAGAGGGCTCTGTTCTGCCCTCACCAAGCAAGGTTTGGCCCAGACCTGATACTTCATACCTGCCGCTCTCTCCATTGAACTTCCATCGCAGACTTGCTTCGCCTTGCGAGAAGGACCCCCGCGGAAATACCCTGAGGTCAGTGCATAATGCAAACTTGAACCAGAAGACGATGTCTCTGAACGGTCTGAAATCTGGAAACTCAGCCATCAGGTACGCATCCTGCCCAGTCAAGAGCCCTTCTGCGCTTGAATTGTGCAAATATGAGGCGGCCAGCGTTCTGCAAAAAATTGAAGTGCCGTAGTGGTCTCTAGCATTCATTCGCCAGCCTCCATCGTCCCAATCGAACAGAATTCGCCCCCGATCTCCTTGCAAACCCATGGATTCCGCAACCTCTACGAAATAGTTGATGATGGCCGAACGACTCATGTGCAGCTCTGGAATCGCCACCTCGATCGTCTCCGACTGAACCACGAAGCTGTCCACTGAAATGGCAAAGCCGGGCGAATCTTCCGATCCCATCAGGGTCTGTGTCAGACAGTTGAGCGGAACCGGCAGCAGCCCGGAGCTCTCCTCGCTCTTTCGAGCTTTGTCCGGCCAGTCGCTCTGATAGTCCTGCGGAGTCATGCGGGCCAAGCGGTCAGACAGGGCAGCTATCGCCCCAAAGACGCAAAGGATTGTGGAATCAAAACTTCGAGTCAAATGTGCTCTCTGCACCTCTGCATCCACAACCGCCTTGTTGGTTCTTTCAGTGTGGATGCTAAAGGCTGCTGCTGCAAATTGCGAACAAAGCCGGAGCAGAGTTTGCTGCAAGTCTGATACCATGAGTCTGGTAAGGTACTCGTGCGGAGAATGGAAGTCTTCATTGCATGACCACAGCTTGTCTTTGTGAGAAGACATTGGTCCCAAAGGGGTAGGGATGATTTCTGTGAAAAGCTGTTGCAAAACATTGATGATGAAGAGATGGCCGAACTTGCACCGGCCGGATTGGCGTAGTCCGGAAAGTGTGCGGCAAATCTCATCAGCCGTGTAAATTGCCTGAATTGCTTCTTCAGTAGTCTCTGCGCGCTCCCTCAAAGCCAACAAATCCAATGGGATTTGAGCAGGTATGCTGAGAGACTGCCCAGGATTGGGCCGAGGCCCCACGAAATAGTCCCAATTGGGATGAGCAGTGGTTTGCTCGTGCGCTTTCGCGGCCAGAGCACTAAGCTGCAGCTCAGCAAGTGGAAGCTCTCCTGAATGCAACACTGGTTTGGCCGCTAGGGCCTCTTCGGCCTTTTCGATCATCTGCTTGGATTCTTTCAGGAAACCGAGCTGCTCATGTGTGTCCGGCATCTGGACACTAAGCTTCACAGCCGTAAGCCCAAGTTGCGAAGCAGCGATGCGAAGACATGTCCTCTGACTGCGGCTCAGTCGCGGAACAGCATCGACATCTTTCAGTGCCAATTGCAGGAAATGCTGCCGCAGCCTCCACTGCAGTAGCTTTGCATTTGTAACTGAGACCGAGTTTGATCGCATCAACTGGCGGATTGCATGCATCAAGACCTTCCAGCACCCGCTACCACGTTGAGGCGTTCGCCAATCCTCTTGGGAACCAACAAGCGCATCTTCGAGCATCCTGGTCTCCCCCTTGGAGCCCAGAACAAAGGGCAAGAACAGATCGTACAGGAGGTGCCATGCTGACTGTGGACCTACTGTGGGAACTACAGTGAAAAGTGTCAGCCAAAAAGCATCGTCCTCCACTTTTTCAGAACACAGGCCCTCGAAAACCATTGACGTTTGGTACTTCACTTTCGGGTGTCCCTGCACAGAAGATTTGTGGAAGTCTTTTCCCTGTCCAGGATTGACAACTGTAAGCCGATAAGTGGCATCCGGCTTCTCCAAGATAAGGATCACGAATTGCTTCTTGGCGCTTTGCTGAGTCCTCTGAACGATGCCAAAGGGGATGATCAACGGTCCAAAGGCTGGTCCCTTCTCTGCTAGGGTCGACCGCAGCTCGTTCAAGAGCTTGAGAAGGTCCTTGATCAGAGGCACTTGTTCTTCCATGTCCGATGATGCCCACAACTGGTCAAACTTCGCAAAGAGTTTGGAGGAGCGCTCCAGGTGCTCATAGGTCAGCTGCAGCAAATCCAGCGGGACGCCCACCAGATCAGGATCTTTCATCATCTGATTCTCCTTGATCAAGGTCTCGAACATGAAAAGAATCAACCGATGGCTTTGCGCCACTTCTTTAGGCTGTGCACCAGCACTGATGAAGGCATCACAAAAGCAACCGAAGAATGAAGCGTCCAAGAATATTGGATGGGCCTGTTTCTTCATCAATTTCAATTCTTGCAGCACAAGTGGCTGCTGTTGAATCGATTTCATCAGCTGCTTGGTCTTCCTGAGAAGGAGCTGCACTGCTGATGCACCCAAAGCCTCACGGCACAAGAGCACAAACCTCACGGCCAAGCCGCCTTTGGACGACTCCTGTGCATGCTTCGACCCAAAAACTCGGAAGGCACTCTGAAGTGTTCCCAGAGCCGGTGGCTCTGTAGAGCTCGGAGAGCCGGGCTCGGTGCCGTCGCGGCGCGAGGAACGATTGGCTTTTTGGGGATCAGCCGCATCAGCCGGTAGGACCTCACGTCGGTCCACTATGAGGCTTGCAAATCCCTCGGCCGAGCGTGTCAACACGACGCGGTGCCAAGAGTTCCATGACAGGGACGCAGACAAGGCCGTCTCTTGACTTCCGCTGGACCTGAGCTTCAACGTGGGTTGAGGACTTCCACTCTCCGAGGCGGAGGTTTCAACCACTAGATCTGCATCCCCCAACTCTGCAGAGGTGTGCAGGAGGGCGGTCACTCCGTGAAATGGCTTCATTTGAAACTCGATGATGGCAGTATATTGAGGTCTGCTTGGATTTTGCAAGTGGGCAGGAAGCTCGAATTCCAGCTGGGTGCCCTTCGGCACCTCGATGACCCGATCCCGGCCATTGCGACTCAGGCCAACGATGATTGAGCCTCCAATTGCCTTCATGCTCTTGGGAACCTTTCCCTGATGCAAGTCCCAGAAAGCATAGTCCTTGTTTGCAGCAAAGCTGCTCTCATGCACGGAGGGTGGCTCCAAGGCAATCAGCTTGGACAGTGGAATGGGTTTCTCAAGATGCTCGCACCCACCACTCACCTTAAGTTCAGCAAGAGTCTCTTCTCCTTCCGAAGTGATCAGCTGAATCACCTGGAAGGCTCTCTTGTCACTGGCCTCATCTTGAGGTACTCCAAGCTTCTCTGCAAGAACCACTTCGGCACCCTCAGTGATCTCTTCAAAGACCTCCATTGCTTCTGACTTCTTTTCACTCTCTTCCTCTTCCTCGTCATCATCTTCACCATCTTCGTCATCAGATCTTTCTGAGCGGTCATCACCATCAGAGTCTGACCCACCTGCCTCACTGTCATCATCCAGAGTCACCTGCGCCTTGGTGGCCAGGCTAAGCCAATCACTGTCCTTCTTCGCCAGGTTCCTCAAAGCTGCTTCAAAAGTCATTGATACACCTTCCAACAGGACCGGTGTCAGCATGTACGGCTTGTGATCGATCAGATGTCGCAGAATGTCCAGAGCAGCTTCTTTGTCTTGCTTCTCCATGGCAACTGCCACGGCTACTAACTTCTCTTCTTTGCCAGAACGTTCAATGTAGCAGTCAGGACAGGCTCGAAGCTTCAGCAATTCTTGGCATCCGTGCACATTCTTCGCAAGGATCTGGTGACCAAGCGCGCTGGCCACCACACCACCCAAAGGAAAACGGCAATCAATGTGTGCTTGAAACTTCACCAGTGCCTGAACTTCTTCATCCCAATGCTTTTCTGGACTTTGAAGGGCCAAAGTCCATGGTGAGGAATCCAGGGATGCGACATGGTGGTGGCAAACCTTCTTTCCCTCAGCTCCTGCATCACTGAGACCAACAAATAGCAACTCTTCCAATGGTCGATCGGAGGTTTGAGCTTCTTTGATCTCCCAGCACAGCAGCAAAGTGGCAATCGGCGCTGGGAGTTCTTCATTCAATGGACGATTGGGATCAGCTTTGGCTCGAAGTAAGGACAAAATCAAGGATAGATCCAGCTCTTCTTGCAAAGATTGCGCCTGAAGAAAGGCATGGCCCAGCAGAGTCGTCTTCGGCCCGGCACGAGCTGCGAGCTCCTCCTCTACTCCAACGCCTTCCCTCAAGGCGGCCAGAACGGCGCGGCGCCGCAACGGCCGGCCGTGGACGACCGCGTCGTCCAATTCCGACCGCAAGCGCTTCAACGCAGGGGACACGGACGCAGCACCCGCAGACGGCTCGTCCTTCGGCGGCTTGTGGAGCAGCTCCTGGCAAGCTTGGAAGCTTGGTTCAGCAAATGCAGCTGCAAGGCGACCCATGGCCAAACTAAACAACACACAACTACTTGGCAAAGATGATGATTGTATGTCCTCCATGACCCCTCGATGTGTGCGACTACGTCATCCATTAGACCAAGGGCGCCACATCACAGAAGCACAAGTCGAAAAAGGGCGAATGCAAGCCAAGGCCACACCAATGTGGCACCAACTGGGAGCGAAGGAGAGAGACACGAGTGCAGCCCAGTCCGTCCTGCTTCAATTGAAGGGAAGAGAGTGAAGAAACCGGAGGCAACATGGAGGACAAGGTGCGGCTGACCCCCCTTCGAAGAGTGTGCCAAGGAAGGATGTCTGCACCGTGTGGTGGAATCAACCTTGTCCATCCGTTCGTCATTCGTTTGTCTGGGCCCCACAGGCAGGGGCATAAGGAGCACAGAAGCAAGCAAGCCAAGGCAAGGCGACGCAAGGCAAGCAGCGAGCACAGGCAGCCAGCCCAGCTTGTCTCACCCGGAAGCTTTTTTGCGAGTTGGTCGCAGAGTTGTTGTCTTCAAGACATAGACCCTCGTCACAAATTGTTATTTGAAGGTAAGGTGCTCATCTTGCTGATCTCCTTGCTGGCTACTCAGCACTCCCTTGCTTACTTACTACTTACTTCTTGCTGGCGGGTTGGTACTCACCGGTCACCGTGGCTGGCACCGTGACCGGGTGAGCTGGGAAGAGAGCAACAAGAAGAGACGTGAGCATCCGATGGCGGCGCGAGCCAAGCAAAGAGGAGCAGAGGAGCAAGACTCAGGCCAGCCCGTTCCTCCCCTTTCGTGAGAACAAAGACTTGTGCAGTGTACGCACTTGGCCTTGAATGGAGGCACACCTTTCGTTTCTCAAAGAGGAACGCAATACAAAAGGAACCACTCGAGATCGACATGCCTCCTTTGCTTCTCCCCCTTGAGGACGTGTGCGGCAATCACCTCAACAGTCAAACAGCGCTACACAGCCAGGCTTGCCGTTGCATTCCCAAAAAGCGGGCCTTCGCTGGTGCCTTCGGCAGCAGTGATGCATGACTCCACTTGGGCCAACCTGCTAAAGTTCCGTTGAAACTACATGCGCCACGTCATTGGGCAGTGTCCTGACTTCTGTCCAGTCTGTCAGGCTGGGTGGGACTTGGCACTGAGGGCGTGGCATGTGGTCCATATTGAAATCCAGTCGTTCCATCGCTTCTTTCTGCTCCGCCTGGAGAGCACATTGCAAACGAGAAGGGGGCGTGGGAGCATGGGAAAAATAGAGAGCACCAGAAACTGTGGACTTGCCTTCATTTCCTTCAGAGAAGTTGTAAGGCTCAGTACCATAGCTCCTTAGCTCTCAAACACTGCCGAAGGCCCGTCGTCGATGCCCATCGTTGGCAGCTGTTGCTAGGCAGTGCTAGGGGTCTTGTTTGAACGGAAAACCAGCGTTTGCACGAGCACTCTTTGCAGCATCTCTCTGATGCAAATGGCACCGATAAGTGCTCTCCGAGAAGCCAAGGTCCGGCATCCCTGTGCTCAGCTCTGCCTTGTCAACTAAAGTCTGTGTCTTGGAAAGCAGGTAACGAGCCGTCTGTGACACCAAACATCTTCTTTTTTAGTCTTGGTCTTTGCATCTGGCAAATAAAGACAATAAAGCCCCTTTGCCTTCGCTGACGCGGAGGCCAATTCTTCCTGTCACAAGTCGTCTGCTGCCAGTTCCCACCCAGTGGGTCACCCGAATCATACCAGCACGTGGCCCCCCACTCTATCTCAACAAAACGACTGATACAGTCCAGTCTTTTGTTGATGTCGGGGATTCGAATTCTATATAGTCGGTCTAGAGTCTATACTGTACATTGTCCACCCCCTTCTATCTCAACCACCTCCTATCACGCCACGCCGCCCTTCAAACCCAACACTCATCCTAAACCATGGCTGCAAGACTGGACTTACCGACCCCAAGTCTTGAGTGTGCAATCTGCCCGAAGGAGAATAGGTGGCTTCTCTTGAAGGCCCGCAAGGTGCTGCAAGGACCTCTGAAAGGATGGGTCGAAACAAAGGAACTTTTTCACGCCGCGGTCTCCATGCAACTCTCATTGATGATCTGTCAAAAATGCTGGAAATGCCTTCTGTCCACTCTGCATTACCAGCATAACTTAAGCCCTAAACACACATAAACAAACACACATAAACTACCTCATTCTCACTTCATGTGAATGAACTTTTGCCTGACCTCGCGGGGCAGGTAAGGCCGATTTATGCATCTTCCAATTCCCGATTCCAGTCCTTCGGAACAGGCAACGGGGCTGCGCCAGCGACCTGCGCTCAGAACGTGTCTTCCCTCTTCAAAGGCTTTAACAGAAAACAGTACTAACTACTGTACCAACAAATGAATCGAAATTCGATTGAGCCAACCCAAGGCAAAATCCAAGGAGGAAATAGACTACAATTGAAGAAAAGAGCGCAGGGCAAAGCAACATCACAAACAAGTCCTGTCAGCACTGCGCACCCAAAAAAACAAGTAAACTCCAAAGAAATCACACCCCCACATGTGCTAGTTCACCATGACGCTCTGTGCCAAGGACGTGCTAAGGTTCCAGCTTCTTTGGCCAACATGGCGTGCCTCACGAAAATCCCATGCCTTGGCTGGAGAGGAGACAAAGAAGACACGCGTGAGAAGCTAGGACTGCTAGCAGCTAAGGTCACGGCCCATCTTTGCTTTCAAAATATTTGACCCCCTGTACGGTGCCATTGTTTTTACCCTCCTGGCGCCGGTCCCACCACCAAGAAAGGGGCGGAAGCGATGTGTCGGTTCGGCACAATCACGCGCACATCCTACAGCACATCTTACCGCACCCTCGTCGTCCTGCCTTCTCGTCGAGTTCGATGCCGAACCACTCCCCTTCAGCAAACTGGGTCTTGCCGATGAACCGCACCAGGCCCCGCAACTGTGCACGTGCCGGCCACGCAACCGTGACGATACGACAACGCGCACGAGCGACACGTGCGACACGGGGTCGATAAAGCGGAAAAAAGAACGCCACGGGACGAAAAACAGAGTGATAAAGCCTGTTGCTCCGCGGAATGCGTCTTCTCTGATTCTGTATTCTGTGGATGTGCATTTTCTGATTGCAAGGAGTCCGGAGTCCAAAAGGTCAAAAGCAATTGTCATGCACAGAAGAAAAGAAGTGTCCCAAAGCTTGGTGTTATAGTTCTTCGTATCATTCGCATCAGTCTTTCTTGCACGGCGGGGCTGGATAGGACAACGCAGACTCGACGCAGATTCGCTGGCCTTGCCGAACCAGACGACATCTCCGATGTCATAAATGGCCTGCCAGGCAGGGACAGTTTAAAAATGATACAATCGGATCCGGAAACTTTGTTGCAAACACTGCAAGTGTCTGGTGCCAACCGCCCATCTGCTTCGTAGGTAGAAACAATGGAGAATTACAAAATGAAACACAATGACCTGCATATACGCATATACATGCCTGTACTGTGTGGCCCTGAACCTGCAAACCTCGAGGCTTTTCAAACCCTATAGCAGCACAATTCCAAAAAAGCGCGATGGAAGCCAAGGCCACAGCGATTTCGCACCAAATGGGAGCGAAACAGAGACACGACTGTTTTCCGCCCAGAAAAGGCTTCAAAAAAGAACCGGCCGGGACGTCGGAGCGGAGCAGAGGGAGGGGCGACAGATGCTGTCCGAGGGAGCGCACGGAAAGGGGAGGATTTCCAGGTGAAGAGGATTTGATGGGAAGAGGGTCAAGGAACCCAACCCAGGTGCGGCTGGTTTCTCGGAAAGAAGGTCGAGATATGTGGGGGGCTGCTGGGAGTCTGGGCGGGAAGAGCTTCTTGCTGCAGGAAGGGTTTGGCCCGCGGGAGATGTTTGGCCCCCGGTCTGCAGTTGTGGTCGTCTGTTCCAATGAATGTCTCGGCAGAATCCAAAAGCACAACATTGTGTGCTTGTTTCTTTACACTGGTGGGGGTGTTTGGTTCTCACCAGTATGAGTCTTCTGGCTGCATCATGCACAGTGCAGGCAAGCCCACCAGGCCCTAGCCAGGAGGCATGTAAGACCCGTGGGATTCATCACCTGCACTGACTGCTGCAGCAGCAGGCGAGTCAGTCCGCGTTCGACAGTTCGTCCTTCATCAAATGGTCTGGCCGAAGGAGGCCGGGGGCCTTATAGTAAAAGTAGAAGCCCAGGAAAGCAAGAAAGGTGCAACAGAGCGCATGATCCAACTGGAAAACAGTGGACTGAAGCCAACATCACCCGAGGATGATCACCGTGAGCTGATCGTCGCCAAAAGCAAGCTGTGTGTCTAAAGCAGTTTAGCTTACTCTCCCCGGAAGTCACATCGACGTGGAAAACCCCCTGGTTGGTAGAGGGTGCTCTTCCTTCCGGGGCCATGCCATGCACTTCCATGTTAGTTCCAGGGTGAGTAAAGCAACTTTTGCAGTGCAAAAACACGCCCGGACCTCAAACAATCCGCACATACAGTTCAGAAACCAAACCAATAGTAATAGCACTGCTCGAAATGGACATATGCCTCCTGTGTTTCTCCCCCTTGAGGACGCGTGAGGCCATCACCTCCAACACTCAACAGCTAGACAGCCAGGTAACTGGTTGCATGTTGAACATGTAGGTAAAAGGATTGCGGGCCTTCGCTGGTGCCTTCGGCAGCAGGTATGCGTGACTTCACTCTCGTCCACCTGCCAGGTTTCCCTTGAAACCAGACGCAACATGTCATGTTCAAGTGACTTCAGCATCATGACTTCTATCTGAGTCTAAGCTGGACTTCTTGGCGCTAAGGGTGCGGCATGTTGGCCACAAGTCGCTCGACGGTTTCCTTCTGTTCTGCCTGCACGTCTCTAACGAGAACACCCGGCGCAAAAGCAAACACCAGAAACTGTGGAAGGGCCTTCATTTCTTTCAAAGAATCTGCAAGGTTCAGTACCATGGTTCCTTAGCTTTCAAGCCCTGCCGAACACAAATCTGTTGCTACGTGTCTTGTATTACCACACTCGAGCTAACTGCTGGTGTCTGAAGGAGAAGTGAAAAGCGAACGCACAAGCGCTCTTTGTGGCACAAAGTTAGTTCTCCACCATGCAAATGGCACCGATAAGTGCTCTCCAAGAAGCCAAGGTCCGGCATCCCTGTGCTCAGCTCTGCCTTGTCAACTAAAGTCTTGGTCTTGGTCTTGGAAAGCAGGTAACGAGCCGTCTGTGGCACCAAACGTCTTCTTTTTCAGTCTTGGTCTTTGCATCTGGCAAATAAAGACAATAAAGCCCCTTTGCCTTCGCTGACGCGGAGGCCAATTCTTCCTGCCACGAGTTGTCCCATCCAAGTCAACGGTGGAATTGTTGACGTGCTCCCGACCCGCTGAGTCTCTCCGAATCATACCAGTTCACAATTATGCTTAGCAGGCGCCTGCTATCCAAAGGGCAACGGTACGGTCTTCTCTGATGCCGAGGACTCTACATATGTATCATATCTATACATCGTCCACCCCAACCCAACCCCCTATCACACCACCCTGCCAAATGATCCAAACTTTCACAACCACAAGTACCATTCGCACCAGAAACCTCACGCCACAACAACCAACGGACTCCAAAACTTGAGTCAAGACTCGCCTATCGATTAATTACATAGGGAGGGACAACGTGGCTTCATCTCACAGGCAAGGGTCCAGGCCTTCGAGAGGGACAATGAAGCCTCGCCGCCCTCAATAGCAACCTGTGCTGCATGGCTCAACCACTTTCAGTGAGAACATCTGGTTTTTCACCCTGAAACCTCTCTGATTCATCCTCTTCATTCTGACTAATAAGATTCCGACGGCGGTTGTGGCACGTTTGACCCCAGCACTCCTCAGATTTGAAGGGCGAAGGGCGCATCAATCAGCACCCTCCCCAAACGTAAAACTGCGCAGCTTAGAGCCTCTGGATGGGAGGTCATCTACCCAAACGACTGCTTGACTTCCTCGGTGTCTGGCTTCACTTTTCCCTTCGGCTTGGGGGCCTCGGACACTGAAAAGCTCTTTCTTTGCGCCAGTTCTGCGGTCGGTCTTGGGCAGGTGCCGCATGGAATCTACATGGCATGGATCTTTGGCACCCATGCCATGCATAGAAAGCAGCTCCCGTTGCCACACGCCAACATTGTAGAGAAGGTCGAAACAACGTCGGGAGGGCGAGACGGCCACCAAAAAAACAAACAAGTCATTCTGAAGCCTCTGCCCACCCAGCTTGATACACGCCCAACTCGTCCCATGTTCAAAGTCTTGTTTCAAGAAAACTGTTTGGACAGAGGTGGGAGTTCATGTCGTCCTGACAAAATGTGGGA